CAGGACGTGCGCAAAGCAACCGGGATTAAAAGATCTGTCAAGAGCTCTGTGATCATTAATCATCATTAAATGTGATCAAGAATGAGTTTCACAATTTTAAAACGTTTTTAAAACAGTGCATTTGTAATGAATCACAGAGATTTTACCGTATTTATCACCACAGCTGTATGTCAGTGAATTTATATAAGAAGATGCTTCAATCCCGGTTTATGGACCGGGTCAGGTTAATTTTGTACATTTACAGTTTTTCTCCATTGGTTTGGCTCATTTCTCGAAACAGAAATTACATTCTCAAAACAACATGGACAAACCTCCAAACCACTTGGCAATTGTTCAAAACAGACTTGAATTTCTCATTCATTTCATCAAACTGCAAATGTCTAAGTACATGTTTGCAAATGATTAAGTACAGGTAGCCCACATTTAGCAGTGAATAGATCTTGTTGATCAAAACTAATTGTTAATTCTCAGTCTAATGGTTGTTCTCTCCGAAATGTGTCAGCGTCATTTCATTGCATAAGTCATTACATGCACAATAGTCTGTTCAATTGTCAAAATTAGTCAAGACCATAATACCATGAATACCATATAGTAGTTAAATCCTTGGAACATTTGATTACAATTTATTACAATTATTTATTCTTTTTGCTCTAAATGTGGAAGTTACTTTTGTGTGTGATTGATCAAGGCAAGGCAAGTTTATTTATATAGCACATTTCATACACAGTGGCAATTCAAAGTGCTTTACATAAACAGGAATAAAAGAGACAAGTATAAGAAAACTAAAAACAAATGATAAAAAACTGATGAAAACAGATAAAATGTGTTAAAACCGATCATTACAATAAAAAAGGAGTTACCATTTATTTGGCAGTATGAGTGCAATGTGTGACGTCAAACCTTGGATGCTGCTCTTACCTATTACTTTTTCTTTTTTTCAGTTTTATACATGCTTGTATTCTGTTAGCTTGACAAAAACATTAAAGTAACCATTGTCAGTGAAGGACTGGGCTAAGACTGTAAGGTGAACAAGGTGGGGTTCTTTGCCATTATGAAAAAACATCTAAACATTTTTTTTTTGTTTACACAATGCTTACACAATGCTTAAGGGACGAAGCGTTTTGGAGGCACTGACTGTTTAAATGAAAAGAAAATTTAGTTTTGACACATGAGTGAACTGTTTTGGGAAAGGAATGAGCTTTTGCAAGTGAGCTATAGTGTTGTGCTAAACTGTAACACTGTTTTGCCAAATGATCTTAAGAGTTTTGAGAATGTAATTTCTGTTTCAAAAAAATGAGCCAAACCAATGGAGAAAAACTGTAACATAACGGATATCCATACAGCAGTGGATATTAACGTGTGTGTGTGTGCGCGCGTGTGTGTGTGTGTGTGTGTGCGCGTGTGTGTGTGTGTGTGTCCGCGTAACCTTTGTAACCACATTGTGTGTGACTCATCATCACAGAAAGGCTTGAATGAGCTCCACAACAAATACATCAAATAATTATTGGGAAAGTTCTTACTGTAGTATTTCTCACAAACATAACATGAGATCTGCTTCCTTCATGTCTTTCACTGTGCTGTTTATCTGACGCAGCCAGAGATTTAGGCATTCTCTGACAGGCACGTGGGAATGGTGGGCAGGGAGAACTAGCATTAAAGGCACAGGCAACAAAAACAGCTACAATGTGTTCAAAGCAAAAATTCCAACGTTTTAAGGGTAAAATATATAATCTGATGGGTGTTTTGAGCTGAAACCCATTCTGAAGACACAAAAGTGTACAAGCTGTGTATGCTTTTTCAGGTGTCAAATTTCTCTTGCAAGTGCCATTCGCACTTGCTCTTCTCGTGGAAATCCACCAGAGGCCGATGTTGACCAACTGACCATCCGACAGATCCCCTACTCTCCTTTGAACCACTTTTAGATTCTCACCCTGTTATTTACTTCTTTATTTTATTTTTTGCCTTTTGTTTGCTTTCTTGAACCATTCTTTACCAGATTCAAACCTCTTTGTCGTGGTCAACACCTCCATGCACCTCAAGTCTGCCGACATACGTGGCAAGCTACTGGGCAAACTGGTAACAGTAGAAAAGCCGTCTACATGGAGGTAATTGGTCAGCTGGTAGCACGAAAATAAACAGAAGTCGTTGGTGGAGTCATACCACCCTGTAGCCATTCGAAACTCTGGCTACATAATTCACGCTTTCCTTAAATGTATAAGGGGGCACGTTTTCACAGTAAGCCTGTGTTTCAACATTATGTACTAATTTAGCTGTACAATATTTGTGATATATTCATTTATATTAACAGAATTAACCATTGTTATACATTGTTTATCTATCTGCACACTACTGATTATTAATAGCAACCTGCACATATATTCATATATTGTAAATCTGCTCATAGCTTATCCAACCTGTATATAATGTTCATAGTACATCCATCTGTAAATATCACCATAGTTTTTTTCTATAACTGCACTTTATAACTTATTCCTGTATCCTGCACTTGCTGCTATTGTACTGCTGGTTAGACCTAAACTGCATTTCGTTGCATTCTACTTGTACATGTGTAATGACAATAAAGTTGAATCTAATCTAATCTAATCTAATCAATGACTTGCATGATTACCCCAGATTTTCATCATGATAAAAGAACAGTTGTTAGAAGTTAGTTATTAAAATTATTATAAAATAATTTAGACATATGTTGAAACAAACATAAATTGGGGAAACTCATACAGAGGGGTTAATAATGCAGAAGGACTAATAATTTTGACTTCAAATCATATGAGATTTGGATAAAACACACGCATGTAAATGTAGTTCCTTTAACAATGACGAATAAACAGATATAATTGTCTTGCATGGATTTTTTCGCAGTTATAATGTTTGTTTAGTTTATACAAGATGTGCTTTCCTCTGTCTGCGGTTCATTGTCTTGTAAACAGAGCAAAACTGAACAGCAGCCAGATGCACGGCCAATTAAATCTATCCGTCCTGCCCTCAAGCAGTGGCTCTGCACTGTGATTGGTTCAGCAGAATGCCTGACCACATGCAGGGCGGGGTTAATTACCCCTGCAGAGCTCTAGTAAGAGAAAGAGAGGTAGAGTGGGGTTTGTAACTGTGCACCTTAAAGATGGAGACCACCCCCCCTCCACCCCACCCTCCACAGACCTACATTGCAGCAGAGAGACTATTTTTAGCTCCTTTTCATGAGAAGGAATGACGCTGGGAACTTGATTCAGATGCTCCACAACTAAAAGCCCATGTTACATAGACTTCCTTTTTTAAAATAGCTTCAACTTATGTAACCTAAAATCTTCCATTTTGCAACCCCACATTTCTAACTCGAATATCAAGGGAATGCATCTGGCTCAGTCTTTGAATATTTGATGTTTTCTTTCTTAGGCTTTAATTACTTCAGTAGGCAGAGGCAGCTACTAGACTTGTGTCCCTGAAATGATAGATAGACAGATAGATAGACAGATAGATAGACAGATAGATAGATAGATAGATAGATAGATAGATAGATAGATAGATAGATAGATAGATAGATAGATAGATAGATAGATAGATAGATAGATAGATAGATAGATAGATAGATTAAAACAGTCGAAGATAGATAGTTTGAAGATAGATAGATAGATAGATTGATAGATTGATTGATTTCTCATTTATCATCCATTTTTGTTGCATAAACTTTCTGGAAGCATTTTCATCCAAGTTGGCCCGGATACATGCATTTGCTCACACACACCGACAATTATTTAGTGATTAACTATATCTTCTGTTCAGCAGTATCCCTCAGCAATAATATTCATTTGTGTAACGTGAAGTTGCACTTTCACACATGACTAGAATGAATATAATTATTTTCATTATTAAAAATGGAGTAAATAGTTAAACATTTCTTTATCCTGCATGGACCTCTTGAAAGCTCTAAAAAAGCAGTTGTGTTAATATTTTTTTTTTTACATTTTGAGCCAAATCTCAAATATGCAAAAACCTGCGTGGAGCACATTCATGCATCATGCCGTTAAGTGATTTACTGAGTGTATGCTTTATTAAAAAGATAAGTCTTTAATGTAGCTTTGAACTACGAGAGTGTGTTTGAGCCGCGGAAATTATCAGGTAGGCTTTTCCAGAGTTTAAGAGCTGGGTTGGAAAAACATGCAACCGGAGGTTGCCAGATTGACAACACTATCAAGCTTAAAGGCAGATTTAAGACCGATTTAAGTCATGTCTTAAATAAAAGCAACGGCACACGATAGAAGCAATATTTTCCAGATAAATGGAGTTTTTGTTGTAATCATCACCTGAAATTTATATTTTAGAAATGGCTTGTAGCTAAACAACAGAAAACCATGACAATAATTACATCAGGTACATCTCATGTGCTTTATTCGGTGTGAAATGCTAGTAATGTGAGTTGGAATGCCATTTTACATGACATTTATTGCCATACTACTGAAAGCAGCAGCAGATAGTTCACCTCAGATCTTGAAAATAAAATGAACTGTTTGAAATTTTAGAACTGTGACTGTACAAGCCATCACATATCAGTGATTCAGCATTCAGCATGTACATTTTATAATGTTAAAGAGGTTTACTATGTTTTAATTAGATTATAAAATATGGCATTTCATTGGAGTGTAGTTAGTGCACTATTCTGTGCTTCTGAATGGCTGTATTTAAATTTCTCTCGTGTTTCGTCTGGTGAAAACCAAATTGTTTATCACTGCTTATCTTGTCACATAATGTGTTGTTAGGACATCTGGTTACAATGCAACCTGCTCACCTAATGTTTACGTTCATAATAATTATAATATTTGCTTATGAATAATCTCATGTAGATCTTCTTCTCATTTTGGAGTCTGCTACTGTCCACCAGAGATTTTGCCCTCAGCTGTATGTCTGTGATGTGATCTTTTAATATCTTGGTGCTTTATACTTATGTTTCTACTACAGACAGTATTGATTTTTCGTCTTGTGTCCTCCAGGTGGACAGACTGGCTGGTACAATGAAGGAGGAGAACTTGTTCCGCAGGCGGTTCTCTCTCTGTCCCACAGCCACGTCACCTCCTAAGATCGACCCCCGTGTGCTGACCCGCAACTTGTCCTATGGAGGAGACAATGAACTGTACCCGCTCAGCCCAGGTATCCATTCTATTCCTAAATGTGTGGAAACGCTGCGTCCTTCAAGCTCAAGAGATACCAATAGTAGCTTACTACTTTTGAAAAATAGGTTAGAAATTCAAGAACTGTTTGTCAAACTGTATATTTAGCTTTTTCAATATGAAGTATATTAGAGTGGAACTGATTATTATAGAGAAAATAAGGACGGCATGGTGGATAAGTGGTTAGCATGGTTGCCTCAAAGCAAGTTGGTCACTAGTTCGAGTGCTGACTGGACCAGGAAGCCTTTCTCTGCAGTTTGCATGTTCTTCCCATCTACATGTGGGTTTCCTCAGTGTATGGGTGTTTCCTGGTACTGAGGGTTGTACTCTCTGTGCTGAATTGTGACTAGAAGGCCAATAAAATATATTGCCAAAGAAATTGATGGTTCATTCCCTGATAAAGCAGGGAATAAGCCGAAGGAGAGTCTGTGAGCGAGAATCATAGGGAATCACTTATTGTCTGGATTTGATTACTGACTTAATGGAAGTCACCCAGAATGCCTTAAGTACTTTGCCATGACCAGACAACCAGCTAAAATTGCATAACAGCTTGAAAGAAACTATTCAAAACATCTTAGCAACCACATAGCAACAATATGCATCAAGTCAAAAACAGAACACTACAGTGAAATGCATTGAAACAACCAAAAATAATAAATATATTGAAAAAAATTCCACTCTACATGGATATATACACTTGATCAGGGCTGTTCAATTAGTTTGCCATGGGGGCCAGTTCATAAAAAGCATCCCAAACGAGGAGCCAGAGATATGACTATATAAGTGATGACACAACAGCAATATAAGAGCCCATATGCTGTATTTTTGCTCCTTAAAACACCCACATTGGCTTTTTCTACATTAAAAACGTTAATATGCTGTATTTTGAAACTACATAACATCACTGCATTATACTTTTTTTACAAACATATTCAAATGTTGTATTTCGAAGCACAACAAATTAAGTGTAATGCTCAAGTAGGCTTCTTCTACATTCAGACACATTCATATGTTGTGTTTTAAACTGCGTAACAATTAGGTATGCAACGATAATAGATTTTGGTTGTGCAATTATAGTCTTAAGAATAATCATGGTTTCACGATTATTGCAATTATTATGTGTTTATTAAATTCAAAACACGACTAGTTTAGAAAATCTTTTTCTAAAAAAGTTTAGAAAAAGTGTTGTTTATTGCTACTCATTAACCAAATACAGCACAAAATGTTAATAAAAAGCAAACAAAAGTCCATTTCTCTTTTTGGACTTCAAAATAAATGAGAAAAAGTTTTTGATTTAAGCTAATAATAATAATTAAGATAATTTCACAATAAAAATAAATGGCAGAACAATTAATAAATAAATAAAAAATAAGAATAAATAAATAATAGTATTTGTCTAATGTTAATTTAAGCTAAATATTAGCTAAGAATTTAACTGAGCTGTTATTATCTGCGTTCATACTTACATAATCAATTTAAACATTTGTAAAAATTTATCTAATGTATCTTTGTTTACATTGTACTAAAAGCCACGCCAACTCTCACCACTACAACATGAGAATATTTACTGTGTGCAACTGGAGGGCGCTGAGTGCGTGCACCTCTCCCAATGTGCGTACGACTCTATTGAAAATAATGAACTTGCGTGTGAAAAAGACAAAATGTTTTCCTACTTTGTGAAGTTTGTGTAGTGTATTCAAATTTAATACTTACTCGATTAGTAGGCAATTTCAGATGCAGTATAGATTTCCAAAATTTAGCTTTGGTTTGATTTTGTTTAAAATTATACCATAACTGTTTTGTAAATATTTAACATTTTTAATATGTAGCTGGCTACTGAAGCAGTTGTAGCAATACCTAAAACAATCTAGATTGAATCTGTGCTTCAAACAACACAGACTAAATAAATTAGTAAAGGACATTTTTTAGAAAAGCTAGTGTGAAATCAGTTATTTACAGTTCACTTGAATGCTTTATTTCAGTTGTCTGTTGAACAGCTTTAACCAGCCTAAGCTGGTTGACCAGCCTGGTTTTAGAGGGGTTTTGGCCATTTCCAGACTGGTTACAGCCATTTCTCGGTCTTAGCTGGTCAGGCTGTCAAAATGTTGAGCTAAACCCAGCTTGACAAGTCTTGTTTAAGCTGGACATAGAAGGTTTTGACTGGTCTCCCATCCTGGCTAGGCTGGTCAAGCTGGTTTTAGTTGATCATCTCCCAGCCTGACCAGCTAAGACCAGGCTGGAACCAGTCTGTAAATGGGCAAAACCCCTCTAAAACCAGGCTGGTCATGCTTAATTGAAATGCATGACCGTTATGCTTGTGTCTCATGTTTTTTAAAGCTCATTTTAGTTTTTTTTTTTTTTTTTTTTTTTAAGCAGGTACAGAATGCAAAAATCATCTAAATCATCTAAAACTCACAGAAAGAAGAGCATAGAGATCGAGGATATTCAGACATGGCCACTGGGTGACTGTAAACTGAAACTTGCAATGCTTGTCTGAGTTTTTCTTGGTCTACTGCTTCGGAACTGACATTGAGCTGTCTTACTGCTTGTAATAGATAAAGTCTTTTCAACTTGACACAGAGTTTTAAGAATGCAGTGCTCTTGATCATGTTGCTTCAAAAACACACAAGCGTAGCTGTCACGCACTTCCATCAAGTACGTAACAATAGAAAAGTAGCACATTAGAATGGAAATGGGCATTCTATGTGAATAAGGCCTGAGGTGTGCAGTTATTTTCAGATAAACGCACATGAGTGAGTTTCTAAAAAACATCGTTAGCCAACTAACAAACATTTGCCATTACAAACATTGTTTGTTGATTTAGTGATTCCCAAATCCATTGTTCCAACAAACATTCGCAAACTGCGTCACAAACTTGTACATTTGCAACTACACCTCTAGAATTGTTGTAGTTAGAATCATAGCTCCTGGTTGTGTTCTATTCCCAATTATCCCCCCTATGCCCTATTTATTTAGAACATTCCAACAATCAAACTCCGAAGTTGTTTAATGTTTTAGAATAAAATATGGAATGTTCTCAATAATATTTTTAAAGGAAACATAGGCCCTTTATGTGCCGTTTACATTATTTCATCCTATTTAGAGCTTCATTAAGGACGTTTTCCGTTATAACTAACGTGGTTCAAACGATGGACCTGCGACAGCGAAACTTTTTCGAGAAACACTCGTCACTGCATCGTTCTATTCCCAAACAATGCATCATACTATGATCAGCCACGAGTTATGTTGTTGTTTGGGAAATTCACCCTAGCTAAAGTAGTTCCAGGCAGGTTTTTTGACCACACTACTGTTCCACATTACTACGCTGAGCAATGTCGGTTATTTCAAATGACTTCACAGCCTACAACAGTCAAAAATCGAATCAAAACAGAAGGCTTTGGATGAAATTGGTAAAAAATCTATGCTTTTGAAACTAATGAAGATAGCAGAAGTCAGTGATTTATTTGAATTATTTAGCCTGACATGTTTACTGTTCCAAAATATTTGAAATGTTTCTTAAAATAAGATGTATAGCGTTTAATTAAGCAAAAAAGTTTACACAGACATTTAAAAAGAACATATTTTAGAACTGTAATCACAATACTGTGACACTGATATTATCATCCAAGGATATCATGTGTCATTATCTTCAGAAACTAGCACTATACAGAGGACAAAAAGCTGACAAGCGTGACAAATGTCTTGAAATACTTGACAGCCGCATCACCGTCTCAGACGTCCAATATTTTCACTTATTCCTTAACTGAACATCTTTATTCATCATCCCAATGATCGCTCATGTTTTTTTTCTGATAGTAATGAGATGTTTGTGTGCTGGTGTGGGTGTGTGTGTGCGTGCGTGGTCATGTGTGTGTTCTGCAGGTAATGAAACGGAGCGGAACGGTTTGCCCTTACTGAGGGACGAGGTCAGCCCGGCCCGTTCGCCCAGCAGTGTGGTACGTTAATCTTCTTGTTTACTGCCTGCATGGAATATCACAAAATAATATTGCAGACGAGGAAAGAAAACATCCCGTCCTTGCTGTTTGAAGAACATTTCCATAACACATCTGTTATTTCACTCTGCTTAAAAGTTTACCTTTCTTTCCAAAATGCTGCTAAGTGAAAGATTAAATAACTCTCTGCAAATGTAGATGCGACGCAATTAGCGCATGTCAAAAGTCACAGTCTCACTTATTTCATTCCACTTTCCAAACTGCCGATAAAAGCTTTTAGTAAAATCAGAGCTCATGTCTCAGGCACACATCTGCCTGTATGGGTAAATATATGACAGTATATACGCATCTGTTTTAATGGGTGAATATATGACAGTAATAGCCTGTTATTCATTTGCCTATATGAGACATTTAAATATAATCCACAAAGATCTAATGCAGCTTTAATGTATTAACCTGTATTGGCCTGAAAAAACAAATAGCATTAAAGAGCCCCTATTATGTGTTTTTGAAAATGACCTACCATGTAGTGTGTAACACAGCTCTAAGTGAAGCGAAATATCCAGCTAAGGCTTAAATCTGAAAGTGCACTGTATTCAAAACGGATGATTCATTTAGAAAAGAGTCAACTCAGAGTGGTTTAAATGAATCATCTTTGTAACGAAGCCGTGTCGGCTTGAAGTCGATACAGAACTCAAGCATCGCCCATTTGTTGTGCATGCAGACCCGGGAAAATTGAAACCCGCAGCCCCACCCGCAAACACTGTAGAAAGAAAAAGCGGAAGACAAACACTATAGCAGATCCCAGATGAATCAAGTTGCGTAGACATTGTGCTCTGAAGTGAGAGGGAAAGTATGTGTTATTTTCCCTACCCAAAGATGAGGCTGTGAAGAGTCTGTGGTTAAAGTTTATTTTGGCTAAAATACCTCAGCATTATAGCCCCAGCCTTGTGCTGTGTTCCTGTCATTTTTCTGATGAGTGCTTCAACAATCTACATGCTTACAACTGAGGATTCATTGGCCATTTGTTAAAGGAAGGATTAGAAAAGACTGTTGTTGTATGGGACTTTGTTAGAGCTTGACAAGAGCTTTACAGTACACAGTTCATACTGTGTATACTTGCCTATACTGTGTATAACAATACAATTAAAACATTATAAAAATGTAACATTGAAATTTAGAAACGTATATATTACACTACTTTAAAATGTTATGTAGTAGGGCTACATAATTCTGGAAAAATTTAGATTTAAAGCCTTTTTAACCCTTTAAATGTAGAACTTTAACCCTTTATTCCCCGCAGCCAAATCTCCATCTTTTTGTGATCGTCATCTTCGGATCTTGATCAGACCTGCGCTCCGCTAGTGTCTGAAGGGAAAGCGTGTTCACATTATCATGATCTGGAACTGCATATTTGGTGATGTACCATATCGACGTCGACACGTTCAAGCGAAAGATCCGAACCAACACAATTCATTTATTCGACTCTGAGTTGACTGTTTCGTTAAAGAAGCAATATTTTTAAACATGGTGCACTTTCGGATTTAAAAATCAGCTGGATGTTTTCATTCACTTAGTGCTGTGTTACACACTGCATGGAAGGTCATCTTCAAAAACCCATAATAGGGGCTCTTTAAAACAATTATCTGCCAGTGGGGTTGTGTTTTCGCTTTGAAATTTAGATATTTGTAACAAGACGTGCAGTAAATCATATAAATTTAGTATAAATACTGTAATTAAATACAATTCTATACTATAACTATAATTCAGACTGAAAATTGCATATCATACTATGTGACTATTGTGCACATTGCGATATCAATGTTGAAGCGTTTATTGTGCATCTGTATTACATAGGTTAAGACTCGCAAAGAAAGAAAATTTGCTATTGGTAATTTGTTGCAATGAAATATCATTTCTGTTGTTATTCATTGCTCAACTCTGTGCATCATTGGGTTTGGAGGTTTAGAAGGAAAGCTGTCTTCTCCATATTTTGGATATTTTGAACTGACAACCACAGCTGACCAAACAAACCTGCTACATTTAGCTGGGTGGCTTTTGCAGTTTGCCTGAGAGTTGTGGCTGGAAGTAGCTTCATTTGTATTAAATTTTTTTTAGATTACTTAAAATATTATTATTAATTTTATTATTATTATTATTATGGTAGGACATTTTAAAGTCAATATGAAACTGCATTTGCAACCTGTTTTATTATCTTATTTTTGAAACAAGATATTCAGTGGAAATATTTCAGCTGCCATCAAGTAAGTTAAAATGTAATAATGTGCATTGATGAATTGTTCATATTACGCCCTTGGACATATGTTAGAAAAGGAAAAATGTTGATTTTAAATATATTTTAATTGGATTTTTCTTGGATTTTTACTTTTTGTTATCTCCTTTTTCTCATTTCAGTCAGAATCCAGGATGTTTATTGGTTTGGAGAAGGAGTCTTCTTCGCCCACGGAGAAGCTGGCAAGGAAAGAATCGCTTAAGGTATGATTTGCTTCCCACTCAAGACTGAGTTCCTGACCCACTTTTTTTTTCTTTTTTTTTCTTTTTTTCTTTTTTAAGCAGCAGCTCGTTCACAGTGTCACGTACAGTGCCAGTCAACAGGTGGACACTTTCAGGCACTGTTTTTAACTAAACAGTGAAAACAAATGTATCAAAATATGTAATTAGATTTTTTTTTTCTTGCTTAAACGTCTACCAGTTTTCTAGATACTACTAACTTTTATAGATACTAATATAGACTGCAATTTATAGATTACTAATTTTATAGATACTAATAACTTGGGGTGTAACAGATCATGGTTGGTCCTTGATTTTTATGGATCACAACCCACTGTTCAGAACACATGTGACCCTCCAGATTTATATTTTTTTCTTGTAGATTAATTTTAAATTTGTCACTATTGCAGAGATATCGTCTCTCGCCTCATTCAAATCACAAAATATAAATTTTTGACTGAAATGAGAAAAAGGAGATAACAAAAGGAGAAAAAAAATCCAATTAAAATGTATTTAAAATCAACATAAAATATAATGGTGATGAAAGAAGTTGTGTTTGGTTATTCGGGATGTGCTGGGTTTCTTAGGTTATTAGGTGTTATTAAGGTGTTTTCTGTCAGTACAGTTTAGCCTGCATTAATGCATGGTTTTTCATTAAAAGATCTGGATCTCAACACCCACGCAACATAAATTATAAATGATGGTGATTTGCATATGTTTATTATTCCTTAAAATTGCTGCGTTTAAATTGGTGTTTGAAAAACGCAAAAAATCAAGAAATAGTTTCAGTCTTTAGTCCTTTGAGTTGGTTTTGAAGTTACAAATAGTCAAATAACACAGAAGTACTGGGATAACGTTTTATACTTTATATAAAACCACTGATGTTTATGATGTGCTCAAAAATGAAAGTTGTAGGCAGCAATTACATAACCAGCCATCAAAAATATATGCCACTGAATAATTCTTCATATATGATTATCTAGCAATGAAACGTGAAGTTGTGAGTTAATAACTTAATCATTTATTGAAAATGAGACTAAAAATAAATATGGGTTGTACAAATTATAATATTAAATGTAAACATTTAGCATAATCAGCAACAGTAGTAGTAACAGTGAATTTTTCACAGTACTGAATATTTTACTATTTATTTTTGTTCAGCTGATTAATTATTTATTTTATTTAATGAAACCAAAGGTTTCTTGCAGTACTGTAATTTGTAATAAATGAAAAGCAAATGCCATTTGTCTCATCTTTTTGGCTGATCCGAAAAATGATCCAACCCGTGACTAAGAAACCATAATGTGATCCGAACTGTGAGATTTGTGATCTGTTACACCACTACTAATAACAGTTATATTTGCAGTATAATAATAACAATAATCATAATAATTATATATACTTTTATAGTAACTAAAAAAACTGTAATAGTAAATAAGTAAAATACAATAGTGATGAAATTAGAATTTTTGGGTTGCGAAAATGACTGCAATGAAGTTGAAAATGTTAAATAAAGTACATTTATAGAGCTAAATTTGACTTAAATGTGAATTAAAGTAGACTATTTATTCAAGCTCCTTTTTCAAAGCTAAAGTTTTTTTTTTTTCTTCTGTTGTTATTTTGGAAAATATTGCTAATCAATAATCTGATCTTCCCATTTACTTCTATTCATTCATTCATTTTCTTTTTGGCATAGTCCCTTTAATAATCTGGGGTTGCCACAGCGGTATGAACCACCAACTTATCCAGCATATGTTTTATGCAGCGTATGCCCTTCCAGCTGCAACCCATACACACTCATTCACACACATGCACTACGGACAATTTTAGCATACCTAATTCACCTATAGCACATGTCTTTGGACTTGTGGGGGGAAACCGGAGGACCCGGAGGAAACCAAATAACTGTAATCAATTAAAAAATGAAATGAAAATAGTTTAAAATAAAGTACAAAATTGCTAGAACTAAGTATGACACTGGAAAACAAATTTAGTCATACGTATACTTTTTATTTTTGTTTTAACTAAGATTCATCTGAAAGCAGAATAATTCAGCTTTCCATTGATGTACTGTTTGTTAATACTTGATCAAATTTAAGAATTCAATTTTATGAAATTGGTCAATTTCACTATTTTAAAATCTATAATCTTGAGGGTTCAAAATAATTGAAATACAGAGAAATATTTTGATATATTTACAGTAGGACATTTACTAAATATCTTCATGAAATACGATCTTTACTTAATATCCTATTGATTTTTGGTATAAAAGAAAAAAGACGGGTTTGTGTAACAAATGTAAAGTAAAAATTTGAATAAAACATTTAAAAAGACAATCGAATAATAATAATAATAATAATAATAATAATAATAATAATAATGATGATGATGATGATAATGATGATGATGATGATAAAAATTATAAAAATAATAATAATAATAATGGTGTCAAGGTTGCACAGTGAGTAGCACTGTCGCGTCTCGGCTAGGTCAGTTTCTGTGTGGAGTTTTGCATGTTCTATCCGTGTTCGTGTGGGTTTCCTCCGGGTGCTCCAGTTTCCTCTTCAAGTCCAAAGACATGTGGTATAGGTGAATTGAGTAAAGGCTAAAATTGTCCTTAGTTTATGTGATGTTTCCCTGTGATTGGTTGCAGCTGGAAGTCCATTCGCTGTGTAAAACATAGGCTGGATAAGTTGGCTGTTCGCTTTGCTGTGATGACCCTAGATTAACAAATGGACTAAGCCAAAAAGATAATGAATGATTAATAATAATAATAATAATAATAATAATAATAATAATAACAATAATAATAATAATAATGAAAAAAGTACATAATGCAATTTCTCAAAACATGGGTTCATAATTAAAAACCTATAAATATTATAATAGTACATACAAATTCTAAAAAATAAAAAAAACCAGATCCAGTGACAAATAATATTTCATCTCTGGTCATGAATATGCTCAATTTAAATAATAATGTAAAAAAAATATTTTTGTGAGAATTTAAAATAAGCTCTCCATGATCTACAATAATACCATAAAATGTGAGATTTAAAGATGCAGCAGTCGTTCAGTAGTTTCTTTCTTCTCGCATCTGTTTCATTTGCTGATCTGTAGCACTCGTGAATAGCGCGCTCTAGTGTTTAACTAGGATTATAAATATTTTTCATATCTTGCAACCCACATGCGCCCCCTAGCTGCTTTAAATCGCATAAAACCTTGACTTTTGATGTTGTAGGTTCAGAAAAAGAACTATCGGCAGGAGAAGAAGAGGGTTGCCAAAGAACTCTTTAGTGCACTTAAGGATCCAAGTGTGGTTATTATGTCCAACTGGCTAAAGGTTGGTCAGATTCATTGTTTTTTATTTGAACAAGCTAAAATCCTTTCATAGTAGTTTTAAAGATGTGTTTTTTTTTTTGTTTTTTTTTTTTGGATGTTTTAGATTCGGGGAACATTGAAGAGTTGGACAAAGTTATGGTGCGTCCTGAGGCCTGGCATCCTCATTATTTACAAAACACCTGGTTCAGATCACTGGGTCGGGACGATTCTTCTCAATGCCTGCAAACTTATTGAAAGACCATCAAAGAAGGACGGGTTCTGCTTCAAACTCTACCATCCAATGGACAAGTCAATTTGGGCCATGAAGGTTAGACAGGAGCACCTCTGGAATGATTTATGGCATGCAGTATAATAAGTTTTTAAATCTTTTTCATGATGACACTACGTAATATTTTTCTAGATATTTTTAAAGATACTAGTCTTAAAGTGCAGCTTAAAGTGCAATTTAAAGGCTTAACTAGGTTATTTAGGCAAGATAAGGTAATTAACAATGACTGTATAAAAATATGCAACAGCAACTTTTTTCATTGAACGATTTGAATGCAAAACGCCTCATGATGGGCACAAACCGTCGCAAAAAAACTGCTGAAATTGTTGCCTGGGCATGTGCAGAAGGACTACCTTATGGAGCCAGAGGCGGAGCTCCAAAATCAAACTTCCAACCAAACACTTGTACATCCTGCACCATATCTGCACTGTAACAAAGGCTCACTAAAATAAATTCAGGCACTTACATTTAAAAACACTTAATAGTATACGATTTAATAAAGACTGTGATGTCTGTGAAAGCTGTTTTTTAAGAATTTAATAAAAACAATATAAGTTAGACTGCTAAATAAATGATCTTTCACACACTCTAGCCTAAATTAGACTAAGCTACTGTATGATGAGCACAAAAAAAATCTCTTATAATAGGTTGTTGGTATTTGTTATCTTTATCGCGGTAGAGAATTTGAACAATAACATATAAATAAAACATACATTTTTAGAAATATCATTATTATTAATTAACAACAGGACCAAAAATATACACACCATGGGTAGCTATTTGCCACGCGGGAACAATTGTGCTTAAAAGATAAACACAACAAGATTTCTAAATATTAACAGGATATTTACACATCCTGACCCTGCACTATATAAAATAATGCTTATCAATTTGTACAATAAACTTAGCAGTATTAATATTATAATTAATATGCTGCTGCAAAATCGCTTGTACATTAGCATTTTCTTCTTTGCCTCTATTTTGCATTTGGTTTATTGAATGCCTTAATATCTGGCAAAGAGGAATTTACATTAATTTTAATGTTTTTTAGATGGTTTTAAATAAAAAAGCTAATGAAAAATGATGATGTATATAAATAATTTCTAACATTAACAGCTCTATTTGTTAAATAAGAGCATTAATATTTTTAAACAGCAAATTCAGTAGATTAGCTCAATAACTTGCCAAAAGTCAAAATGTCAGAGACGTTCTGTAAATCAAGTTCAAATATCCTTACAGGAGATCTATATGTACACAGGCTTACATTAGTTTTGTCTTCCTAATTATTTTTTCAGACCCATAAAAAGAATTACTGCTAGATAGCGATCACCTATTTTTCCTTGTCATAGCTAATGTATCAGCAAACAGCTAAGATAAAGCCCACACTTTACCAAATAAACAGTGATCTGTCAGATCCTGTATGTCGGGAAGTATTGTTTACTGCTGAACTCATTTTCTCATGGTAAAGTAACACAAAAAATCAAACATTGGTGCTTTAATCTCCTCCTGAAGCTCTGACAGTCTGCTTAAAGTAGCTATCAATCACAGCTGTCAAACACAATGACACACCATATGTTTAGAGCATTAAATTACTGGCTAAAAACATACTTCTTACAAAACTGAACATCTGAACCTATTTCAGCTTGATTACCAGTGCCTTACTTGACCAAAACCATGTTTTGGGACATTTTATTGCAAGTGTAATTCATTTTTATTTATTTTTTTTGGGTTCAAGTCTCGTTCGCTAACATGGAAAAGGTGGGCTTTATGACTTGTACTGCAGCCAGCCCACAGGGGGGCAATCTAACAGCCGGTAGAGTCACTCAAAAGCAAGCGTGTTGCACACTTAGGGCTTTATTTTGATGATCCATGCACAAAGTGCAAAGCGCAGACGCAAACGCATTAGGGGCGTGTCAAAATCCACTTTTGCTAATATAAGGATGGAAAAATCCACTTTGTGCCGTGGCGCATGGTCTAAAAGAGTTGAGCTTATTTTCTTAATGAGTTATAGGTGTGTTTTGAGAATAAACCAATCAGAGTCTCATCTCCCATTTCCTTTAAGAGTCAGTTGCGTCGCGCCATGGTCCATTTGCTATTTACATGACGACTTTATAAGTGGACAAACTGAGCGTTTCACTAGCAAGAAAACAGTTAAACAGAGCATCTGCAGAGAATGAGAATGAGATATAAGGCCTCCTCATTATCTACTTTTACTTTCGCTCTTGTGAATAGGGAAACCTTGTATGCCCAGACATCAATTAGCCTATGAATAATTAATTTCATTTGTTAGGCACAAAGATTTGTTTCAAAACTATTTCTAAATTCAGTTCTAATTTCCAGCAAATGAATAAATGAACAATAATAATCAAGTGTGCTCAAAAAACAGTGTTACATCCTAAAACACATGTTGTGCCCCATATGGTCTAAAACCTGACAGGTGGGCAAATCTAAGCTTGTTTTGAATAAAACAAATATAAATATGGATATAATAAATAATACTGCTAATAATGATAACATTATACAAAAGCAAATTGGTATGGATAAACTGAAAAAGCCTCCCGAGATGAAGAAGGCATGAAGGCTTTTTATAGATAGGCTAGAAAATAATATGTTTTGTAGTATTTTAATCCTTTATATTTATATCATATATATATATATATATATATATATATATATATATATATATATATATATATATATATATTCTTATTATAGCCTATATATATTCTTAAGATTTTAATTCTTTTTCATATGGACAGATATTTGCATATTACTCTACATCTTGTGTGAATTAAGCAGTGTGTAAGTGAGACACACAACAAACGTGCTTTGCTCCGGACAATAGATCGGCTTTGTTCTGGTCTATTGAAAAATCTATTATAGTTTCTCAAAATAGCAACACGCCAGCAATACACCTCAACACGCCTTCCTTTTTAGACCAGAACGCCTATGGGCGCACATATGAGAGCAAATGCATTTGCTATTTAAACAGCATGGTGCAAAACGTCAAAACGACTCTGGCGCCAAGCTGAAACTAGCAAACAACAATTGCGTCGAGCCTTGCGCCTCATTGCGCTGGGTGTGTGATAGGGCCCTTGGTAATTAGGCAAATCCAGTGGTGGAAAGAGTACTGAAAAAATATTCTTAAGTAAAAGTACCAATACTTGCCTGAAACTGTAGTGCAAGTAGAGTAAAAGTATCTGTTGAGAATATTACTCAAAGTATGATTAAAAAGTAGACTTTTTAAAGGTATTTAAGAATAGTGAGTATGACACTGTTAAAAGCTGCTGCATTTACATGTAATTTGTATGTGCGATTTGTTCGGACAGGATCACAGAACTGATTTTTTAAATCCCCATAGACAGGAAAAAAAGTAGTGACAGCAGCTTGAAGGAAAGTACCGAGACAGCACTAAAAGTGTACTCAAGGGAAAGTAAAAGTACACATTTTTAAAACTACTTAGTAAATTACAATTTCTGAGAAAAAAACTACTTCATTACAGTAATTTGAGTATTTGTAATTGGTTTCTTTACACCACTGGGCAAATCATTGTATATTGATGGTTTGTTCTGTAGATAATCAAAAACAATTGTTTAAGGAGGCTACTAACATTTTGACCTTAAAATGTTTTTATTTTATTTTATTTTTTGTAAATTAAAGCTGCTTTTATTCTAGCCAAAATAAAACAAATAAGACTCTCTCCAGAAGAAAAAATATTTTAGGAATAACTGAAAAATTCCTTCCTCTGTCAAACATCATTTGGGAAATATTTAAAAAAAAAGACAACAACAATTCACAGGAGGGCAAAAAATTTTGACTTCAACTGTAAGCTTGGCTTTATTTTGGGCGAATTTATTGGTGTTTGTGTTTTATTTTCAGGGACCTGAAGGAGAAACGGTTGGCTCCATCACACAGCCCTTGCCTAGTAATTATTTGATCTTCAGGGCGGCATCTGAATCTGATGGTGAGCATTTGTATTCTATAAAAGTTAACTCGCACTGCACCAACTGAAGCAAAAAAGTGTCATCCCATAACATTTGTTTTACCTTATTTGTATATTGAAAATGTTATTGAATGTATGAGGTTTTATTATTTCCACATGAGGGTAACAAATCTGACATGGTGGTTAACTAAACTCACAATGAAAACTCCATTAAAGGGCACCTATGATGAAAATCATCTTTTGTAAGCTGTTTAGACAGAACTGTGTGTAGGTATTGTGTGTCCACAGTCATATTGGAGCGATATAAACACAATAAGTCTCTTTTTTTTAAATTTTCTGAAATTTAAATCCCTCTCATTTTTAGGCCCACTGCAACTTGATGTAGGAGAACGGCTTCCCCGGCCACCGAATTGATTGATAACCCCGTATTAACATGTCTTTGTAGAAATGCGTATCAAGAATAAGTTTTACAAGTTTAAAATGTTTTTAAAACAATGCAATTGATGTAATACATCGCCATTATGAAGGACACGGAATGACAAATGAAGAATTCAATTATCAATTTAATAATTGTAGCATTAAAATGTGTATAAATAAATCACAAATAAGGTGGATAATTAATGAACAAATAAATAGACATATTTAAATGTTTATAAATAATTTTAAAATAACTTTTAATTGTATAAATAAATTGACAATTTTAAAAATGTTTATTTAATTCATGTTTTAAAACACTGATTAATCAAACAATAAAAACAAATATTTACAGATCATTAAAAAATGCATTTAAATGCACAATTTAAAAAAGCTCTTTAAAAAGGCATTTGGCAAATGCTTTTCTCTCTCTATTTGCTACTTGCTTTTCTTTTCCTTTAGCTACATGCTCGAGTTGAAAATAAATCAAGTTAAAAAAAGCCATTGGACAGTCCACAGGTGGGAGCAACCAATCAACTTTCACCTGAGTCGAGCTGAACCCTCTTTCGCTTGAAATGCGCACTGTTATTGGACAGAGAGAAAACCATAGGTCATTTTAGCGGGAGTTTAAAGATCAGCAAAGCGACTCAAATGTCAGGGATTTGTTAGCTTTAGCTGGCTTCTGTGAAAAAAAATTCTCATCTGGATTATCACTGGCTGTATAGAAAGGTTTTACAGTTGAAGGGTGACTGTGGTCAAGTGAGCTAAGTGAAAAGCACCCGGTTGTTTTAGCCAACGTAAAAAAAAAAAAAAATTTTTGGCCGCTCAGAAACTGTGAATAACAGAACACTAAAGATTTGATCTGAGCACAAATACCACTTCGTCATTATATGCACTTTGTCATTATATATCACAGCCCCACGCTGCATGATGATGAAATATTAAATAATAATAAAACAAATAACAAAGGAAAGCACCAAAATAACAGGGTCTGGTTTATTCGTAATTACAAAATAAGAGCCTTTCAAATCTTATTGATAGAAAGTACTGCTTTCTCTCTGTATTCAAAAATGTATACAAATTAAACTGGTTGATATCACAAGGCAGGCTCACTTTAGATTGATAGTTCACCTTGTCATCGTGTCAAGTAAATCCTCTTTTCACATATGGCTGATGTGTAAATATAATAAAATAAGTTACACATTTTACCTCTTCCCAACAAGGACAAACACAAACAATAAATAAATCATGATTAATTATTGTCATGCAATAAAAAATGTGATTATAATGGAAGTCAATGGTGCAAAAACAGCCACTAACATAATGAAAGGGTAGTCCACTTGAACAATACTCGAGGGTTAAGTGATGTACTGTAAACTGATAATTACTGATGAAATGTCTTTAAACTTAATATGAAGTCCACTTGAGGCTTATACAGCCTTGTGTGGTTATTTCTCCAGGACGCTGTTGGATGGATGCTCTTGAACTGGCTCTCAGCTGCTCCAGTCTGTCCAAGATGACGGCAAAGAGCTGCAGGGATGGAGATCTGAGCAGCTCCTCAGAGTCCTCACACATACTTCAGCTGCTGCAGTCCTCCGCTCTCACCGACCAGGAGCTGTTACAGTGAGTTTGACCAAAATCCTTTTGAAAGATTGCCTGTCCAGTTTGCAGCCATATTTTAAGCACCCAAGGGCAGTTGTTTTAAGCATCCAAGAGCAGTCAATGCACACGTGTAGTACAAATCATGCACCTCAGGACATTAATTTTCTGGCTAACAAAGCCTTTTAACACTGGTGTTGCTAAGCTAGCTAATTTCTTTGGTCATAGAATTTTTTTTAAAAACTAAATTAATCTCAATGTAATCTTGAAATTGTTCTAGATTAATCTAGATTAAAATGGCTTATTTGAATTCTGCCGAAGGCTTTGAGAATATGTGTGCTACCCAAATTATGACTAAATATAAGTCTTTGAGAACGGGTTTGTCAAGCCAGATGGCACACTAGACCAGGGGCTCATCTCCCGTTTCCAAAATGCATCACAAACTGATTGAATCGGGAAATGCAGAAGTTTTTTTCTTTCCATTTGGTCATGTGTTATTAAACTCCATAACACTATCACCAGTCCTTACTCCCTATTTGGGTCTAATATCCCAGTTTGTCAAGGGGGCATGAATGAAATGTTCATGAGTGAATGTGAAACTGCCGAACTGCAGTTAAAGTCACCCAAAATGACAGGAAACTGATGTCAAAGCACTTCATGTAAACACTTTAATTATATTATTGTCTATTAAGGCAAATAACTAGATTACAGATGTCCATGTAAACGCTGTCTATAGTGTCTTCAAAGTAAGTGAAATATCCAGTAGGGCATCCTGCTGATTTGATTTAGAAGGGCACTTTTTTGTCACAAGTATGACCGGTCAGGTATACATCTGCGCTAAAATGTCAAGGTGAAAGCCATCATAGCTCCCAACCCAGTCACCCAGCTCCCTACCCACCTTTTAGAATGGATTAACTGAATTTTTTTTTGTCGGGTAATAAGAGTCTGACACAGCACGTTAACGCCGCTAACGGCCCCCCACTAATTTATATATAGTAGTACACCCCTCCTACTTCTGCAAATATTTATTTATAACTTTTCATAGGACAACACTGCAGGAATGACTCCTTGACGCAATGAAAAGTAGTCAGTTTAAAGTGTGTATAGCTGTGTAAATTTATTGTCCTCTCAAAATAACTACAAATACAGCCAATAATAGCTGAACCCCTGGCAACAAAAGTGAGTACACCCCTAAGTGAAAATGTCAAAATTGAGCACAATTAGTCATTTTTCTTTCCCTGTATCATGTAACTCATAAGTGTTACACTGTCTTGGGTATCTACAGATAGCAGGTCCCCCCAGAAAATGGGGAAAAAATAAACAGGGGGGCTAATAATTCAGGGCGGCTAATAACTAATAAATATATATATGTATATATATGTATATATGTAATCACTTCTGATTTAGTGCAACCTTCCTGGCTAGCACAGTGCGTCAGGTTGGTGTTGTACTAAAATTTAGTCATAAACAAATTATCGGTCAAAATATTTATATTATAACGGCCCCCCCACATATACATATATATATATATGTATGTATGTATGTATGTATGTATGTATGTATGTATGTATGTATGTATGTATGTATGTATGTATGTATGTATGTATGTATGTATGTATATATATATGTATGTATGTATGTATGTATATATATATGTATGTATGTATGTATGTATGTATGTATATATATATGTATGTATGTATGTATGTATGTATGTATGTATGTATGTATGTATGTATGTATGTATGTATATATATATATATATATATATGTATGTATGTATATATATATATATATATATATATATATGTATGTATATATATATATATATATATATATATATGTATATGTATGTATGTATGTATATTAGGGATGTAACGGTATTGTAAATACCGTCATACCGCAATATTAAATTTTTTCGATATTACCGAAGTCGCATGGCTCGGTAAAACTATAGGTCTTCTGAGAAAATTTACTCAGGCGAATGAAGCGAACGGGAGGTAGCTGAAACTTCATTTCCCATCAGCCCCGGCGTGGCCATAATCCTTTGCGGTCTGTTGTCGCTACAGATCCAGTAATGCGGAAATGGAGTGTGCTGCTAGTAGCGGAGATGAAAAAAAGATGGAAATGATCGAACCTAAAGCGGGTGTTGTCGCCGCGCGCGTTCTGAATAGCGGTGCTGTCGCGCGCGTTCTAATCAGCTGTGTTGTGGCGCGCGTATTGTAAAGCGCCGAGGGGGGGTTGAGCGCGCATACTCAAGAGAGGTGTTATCGCGCGCCTACTGAAGGGCTGGACTGGACGGAGGTTGTGTCGCGTCGCGGGGGCACTTTTGATCGTTTTGGAAGGGCATTTTCTATCCAAGACTAAAAAGGGCATGTACACTGCACAGGTTGAGCCCTATGTGTGCACGTGCCTGCAAGTTGGGGAATACGACTAATAACAGTCATGGGGACTGCAGAAACACAGCACACTGTTCAGATTGATGCAGACATTGACTTGTACCGCAAAGAGACCTCTATCTCACTCATGGTTTGTCCTCTCAAGTGGTGGAAAGACAATGCACAACGTTACCCCACTGCTGTCAACATGGGCCAAGTCATATCTCTCTTGTCCCAGAATCCTCAGTCCCAAATGAGAGGGTTTTTTTTCTGTTGCAGGGGACATTGTAAATACCCAGAGATACCAGCTTTTACCAGATTATAGTTATATGATAATTTTCCTTTAAACCCATCTCTATCTAAGTGAGTGATTAAATGTTAAATGTGATGAGTTTTTAACAATACTAAATTGAAACTTTATTTTTTTTTACATGGTTTAATATTTTTTTGTTATTAAAATTGAAGTTCCTGTTTCAAAGCTTACAGATAGATGGCTAATTTGTATGTCATTGACACTTTTGGCACTTTTTTGGAGTATTTTCAAAAGTTTTTTTTTTTCCTGTAAATGATTCAATAAATACCGTACCGTGACATTCATACCGAGGTATTACCGTACCGTGAAATTCTGATACCGTTACATCCCTAATGTATATATATATATATATATATATATATATATATATATATATATATATATATATATATAACTTGTTCACTTCTGATTTAGTGCAACCTTCCCGGCTAGCACAGTGCGTCAGGTTGATTTTGTGGCCCAGTGTCATAGGATGCTACATTTTGTTTGTAAATGAAAATCGGGTTGGCGTCAGAACCCAATGTCAGAGAGACGTTACATTTTGGTAACTTTCCAACGCAACCTGAAAACAACAAAATATCAATATCTAATGATTTTATAGCTTGATGTTGTGTGGATGTTACCATTATAATGTCTACCAAATGTTGGATTTTGGTTGCCATACCTGACAAATAAATTTCATTATTTGATGTCAGTATGATTTGGCTTAAGATGTTGGCTCGATGTTGTATTTTGGGTACTTCCCACTACGACCTAAAAACAACCAAATATCAAAGTCATTTGATGTCATTACTGAACATCAAAATAACATTGTCCTTAGACACTGGCTAGACGTTGAATTTTGGTCATCCAACATTACAATCTAACTCTAAGCTAATATTCTGCCTTATGACATTGTGTGCCTGTTGGGTTGGTGCTTGTAGAAAAATTGAGTATAAGATATAGTTTGTACATTTCTAAAAATCATTATTTTAATTATAAGCTACTTTTATTGACTATTTTTAATAGTTTGAATGGATATTTTGTCTGGGTTGGTGTTGTACGAAAATCTAGTCATAAACAAATTATCAGTCAAAATATTTATATTTTTTAATACGTAAAATAGATGAAACTGCTTGTAGAATAATTATTGATTAATTCAGTATGAAACAATTAAATACAAATAAATACATTCAGTAATTTGATGTAATCCATATATTGAGTGACTTACAATACCCTCAAACTCAACAGCTTTCGATCGCTGACTTTACATAATTATTAACTAAACATTAATAATTAATTGAAATTCTCCACAATATACTCAAATGAGATTCAAATAACTTGCTATTTTGCGTGTCTTTGAGGAAGAGGAAACGTATTGGTTTGCCAGTGATGCCTACAGCAATCATTTATGAATTCTAAGCCCCGCCTTGTTCTGGCCGCTTTAAAAGCCCTAGTCCAATCAGCTGTGCCCTGAAGGTTTACGTGACAAGCAGAGGAGCAGGAAGAGATGAGGAGAATGTAAACGCAACACCACCATCAGCACACACAAACACACTCGTACATGCGCGCACACGAGACAGGGGAGCTGTTAAGCAGGAAAAACAGCTTTCCTGTGCAAATACCAATCCAAACAGGAACTACAGGGGGGAAATCACTGTGTTTCAGACTTTTTTGCTATTATTTTATTTTATTCCATATTTAATTCACCAGTCTTGGAGTGTCAGGAATAAAATATTCTTGGCAAGGTAAGGACATTAATTTATTTATTTATTTTTGCTTGGCTTGCTGGTAATCCTAGCTGACAGCAGGCAATCTTGGACAAATGCTGGTTTTCCTCTGATCTCTATGTGTGTGTGTGTGTGTGTGTGTGTGTGTGTGTGTGTGTGTGTGTGTGTGTGTGTGTTGTAAGGATATAAAGGGGTTATTTAATGTCATGCTTTTTTTTTTGCTAATGCTCAGAATATTAATGCCAGACTCTTTGTTTTTTTGTTTTGTTTTTTGTTTACTAGTCAGATGCTTCATGCTTGCCATTTAGAAGTGAGTTCAATGCCTATAGCAGAATTTAGAAAACGGCATTCATTTAATGAAGCCCTTGTGACCATGGTGACAGCCCTGTCATTCAAATTACCCGTGAAGATGATTATTGTGCGGTCTGTTGCTTTGGCAACTGTTGATGCGATTTAGGAGGGAACGTGTTGAATCTTTAAATGAGATTTAGGTAAAAGTTATTAATATTTAACAATTAAGATATAGTTTTTAATAAAAATGTGAAACAGTAAGTAATAAGGGCATGTTTAGATGTAAATGGGTCAAAGAGTTGTCATGTACAGCAGTCTGTATCAATTAAAATGCAAAAATAAGTTAAAATAAAATATAAGAAATATTTTATTTTCTGTTTTAATGTTTTGAATGCCTTTTGTGGAAAATTAAATGTAGATGTGCATGACAAAGTGTTTAGTTGAAATTAAATGTAAAAGTTTAAAATAGGTAACAAAGTTTTATTTATTATTCATAAAACTTTTATTTAAACTTTCAGCATACTTATTCAAATTTATAAAATAATATTCTAAATTATATACAAATAATATGTACAATAATGCATATACATTAAAATAAATATAATGTGAGATCTCAAACACGCCTAATCAAACACAGAGTCTTAAAAACCCTTCTGTATGAGGAACTGCTTTCTTCCACCGTTCATTCATATCTGCTGCTGACGTCAGAACAGCAGAAACTGTTGCCAGTTCACAAACAACACTTTAAAACTAGTACTTGAATGCCTCTCTTGTATTATGTAGAGTATTGTCATGTCTATGTGATGACAAAACAGATGATTTTGCTTACATTTTAAGACTATAAGGCTAGAAGACATGAAATGCCATTAGTCTACAGTGATCTCCCAGTATTCGGGAAAAATTGAACCAAATTTAAGCCAAAGAAAAGCAATCATTACTAGATTACTATGGCATAAACATAGCAATATAAAATACAAAAGAGTGAGATATTCCTAGAACTTGCCAGTTCTATAATGATTTGTTAAAGTTTCGTTTTAAATTTACACTCAGAAAAACATTTTTTATCCCTCTGGCTTATTATGCGGTCTCTTTTGCTATCTTGTGGCGGAACAACATGACGTCTATTTCTTTGCTACAAATTACTACAAAATTTGTACTACAGAAATATTTTGTTAAATATGACTGTGATTTATATGAAAAATTATTTATTGATAAATAACATTTAACAAACAACAATTTAAAGACAAGTAAATCAGTCAAAAGAATAACAACCACGTATTCATTCAGCATTAAGCTAAACTTAACATTGCAGTCAAATCTATTTGTTATGGAGTAAATAACAGTTGACTGTGACCGAATATAGACTTTGATATAGCCTAAACGAATAACATTTTACAGTAGACTAAGTTAAAGACACCCACCATACTTTTAAATTAGTAGCCGTCAGAGGAGTGCTCACGACGGGCAATATGACAGGCTGACAGCCACCGACGCACTGAAAGTCCTGAAATTATGAAAACATGTTTTCAAATACCAATATCATTATCAATAAACTGTGCAGTTGCAATCTAAACAACTACATTCTCAACTAAAAAAGCCTTAAAAGTCCATTATGTTGTCCAATAGCTGCAATTTTTGTCAAACTGTTTGTGTAGAGAGTTGTTTAGCCTTTTTGATGTTGCTGTCGTGGGCGGAGTATTACACAAGGGTGAAGAGGCTGTCAGAGTGCTGATATTACTTTAATAACTCACGGCTATCAGCCAATCAGATTCGAGAACCAGACAGAACTGTTGTGTGTGTGTTTATATTTTTTATATTTGTTGTATATATTTTTATATGTAATTACAAATTTGTACTGATAAATAGTTAAAAGTTTGTGCTTTTAATGATCGTTAAATAAAGATTTAATTTTAGATTTAAATCTAGTTTAATTTGAGTCTTTTAATATGTTGTCGATTGACACTACTTAAAGTTAAATGCAAGTTTTTTGTAAATAAATAAAATACTCTAAGATATATATATATATATATATATATATATATATATATATATATATATATATATATATATATATATATATATATTTTTTTTTTTTTTTTTTTTTTTAAAGTAAAACAAATATATTTGATTTGTGTGTGTGAGAGTGTGTGTGTGTGTGTGAGTGTGAGTGTGCTTAAAACCCTTTTTAAAATATGACTCAAATATAAGCTTAAATTAATTCCTTAAAATGTACCCATCACATTTGTTTTGTTTGTTTCATTGTTTTTTTAAAGGTTGAATGACTCCATGTTGGAAAATAATATGGAGAACGATGCCAACTCAGACAAGTCAGAGAGGGAGGCGCATGAAGACTCGGATAACGCGGCCAATGAAAACGGAGGCCGACTGACCGAGGAGAGTGACATGGACCAATCGGATGACGTCTGCCTCCAGGCAACGGGATTTGTTGAAGAAGCCCATGAAGAGATGGGAGAGGTGATAATTGAATATGGATTGATCACAGTCTCTGTTTGTTCTCAATGAGTCGCTTTGTTTAACCAAAGATGATTTAATTATCTTTCACTTATGCAGTGACACAAGCATGGTTCATGTCAATGAAGACATTCTGAAACAAAGATAAACTGCATGGTAACCAAATCAAATGTGGCCGAAGTACACTGTAAGAAAATCTATAAATTAGCAGTTTTTAGAATTTTGTGATTTATGTTTTAATTTTTTTTATTTTATTTTATGCATTTGAATAGCATTATGTGACTTTGATCTTTCTTCCTACAACTTTTAACCTTGAAACATTAAAAAAGTGACTTTTATTGTCATTTTAATAGTTTAAAGTGGTATATTGTCTGGGTTGTTGTTGTATAGTATGATTCAAAACCTTGTAACTAACTACCAGTACGTTTTCTGCTGTTTTACAGACTTTATTTTTCTCTATATTATTTAAAAAGTCATGATTCACATCATTAAATAATTGCTTTGTACAATTTTTACTTTTCATTCTTTGAGTGATACATCAGGGGATTTTGCCAAAACATTTGTGTTTTGTATCACCCAGAGAATGTAAAATAAAATTGTACAAAGCAATTATTTAATGAGTGCGAATCATGAGCTTTTGAACAATATTATTGACAAGATTAATGCACCAAAGAAGTTTTTTTAAAATGCAAGCGCAGGGCAAACTTCATTACTCTATATATTATTTCTTATACATTTTATTACTTCAAACTACTAAAAATGTTAATAAAAGTTAAACTTTTGTTAAACTGTAGATTTAATTCTTCAACATTACAAGCTGACAGAGCATAAATCAAGGTCCCATAATGCAATTCACAACCATAAATAAACAAATAACAGTGGTGAATCACAAAATACGCAAATGGGTAATTAACAGATTTTTTTATAGCGTAATGTTTTATTCCTTAAAAAATAAGGCTTCACGATTCTGGCTAAAATGAGGATCACGATTTCGTGATAAAATTATATCACAAAGCAGGTAATTTGTGCATGTAATAATAATAATAATATAAATAATAATAATAATAATAATAATATCAATTATAGTAATATTACAACATATTTTGTGTATTTATTATTTAGAATTTATATTTAATTATGTTTAAATATTTTGATTACTTGAATCTTTATTTGTGGAATCATTTCTAGTTATGCATTTCATGAATAGTGAGGAGTAACTTATTATTCTATTGGTAGCTATTTTGAGATCACATGACCAGCTGAGTAGTCCCCACTATAGAGGGTGGGTGAAAGGTAACTAGTTAATATTTAATGGCTATAGAACTTATCAGTGGAGTCACAATGAAAATAACCTCTAAATAGACAATCATTCATTTATTTTCCTTCGACTTAGTCCCTGATTTATTAGACAATCATAAATTAAATGAATTCATAAATGTATTTTTATTTTACGTATCAATAGTATAGTCATTGTCCACAATAGTCAGCATTAGAAATATAGACTAATAATAATTTTAAATTCATTAAATTTTTATTTTTTTTATTTTATTTTATTGTTTGATTAATGTTGGCTATCCTGTTCTGCTTTGGAGTTGCTTTGTAGCTTAGTGGAAGCTTCTTTAAAGAGATCCAAAAAATGAACGTTTCCTCATAATGTATTCACACTTTAACATTTCTAAACTTTCTTGCTCTTTTTTTTTTTCACACACACACACACACACACACACACACACGCGCACTTACGCACACACACACACACGCACGCACGCACGCACACACACATACATACATACATACACACACACACACACACACACACACACACACACACACACACACACACACACACACACACACACACACACACACATACACACACACAAAATATTATAACAATATTAGGGGAAAAAAGCTGCCAACAAAATACTATACAAGTCAATAGCAGTTTTTTACCAAACATTTTTCAGTATATCCTTTGTGTTTAGCAGACAAAAGTAACTTAAATAATTTTTTGGAACAGGTTGAGAATGAGTTAAAGGATGACCGGTTTTATTTGGGTGAACTACATTATAAGATAATGCTTACTGAATGTTTTTTGTAGGACACAAGAAGCTAGCAATTTAGCTACAGTATCGTTAGATAAGCAAATCCATTGTTTATGATGACATTGTATTTTAGCAGCTATTATTTCCTCTGTTAGCAATTACAGTTTTTTCCAATTGTTTACACACATTTCTGAAAGCATGTCTCATAGTGTCAGAACTCTACACACAAATCACAAAACACACACACATTGGGCAAAACTCTTTAATTCTTCTGCAAAATGAAACTCTAAGTTCAAAACAATGTGATTTCTTCTTAAAATGGTATTTTGTTTTCAAATGACACACACAAGCCATCACATCAATAGACATTCATAAGATCAGTTGAACATTGATGTGCTTAATGTAAAATACTTTGACCACTTCTTCTCCATTCATTATAATTACTTTCTGTAAGCCTTTTTCTGTTCAGTGTTACACTTACTACAGACAGAACATAGACCTACAGAAGTGCATAGAAAAATATTTCAGAAAATAGTTTTTATACAAAACAAACAAATACCAAACATATTTTACTGTATTTTCCCCACAAATACAGTGTACACAGTGTTCATCCCAACCAACACAAAGTTGCAGATAATGTAGTCTACATGTACCATCAACAGAAGTATTTACTGAATACAGTTACTGTAAAAACAAATAAAATAAAAAATAGCTATACTGCATTCTCTTTTCTGCTTTGGTCTTGCCAAGCAGTGGGGGAAATTTCACCTTGCATGGCAAATCCAGCCACGAAAAGCATCAACTGCTATAGCTTGGAGAAACGGGTATACTTGTGTTTGGATTTAAGTAATACACTTTTCATCTCCAGGCAGAAAAACAAAATCATCAATAGGTTTGAGGAATGAAGAATATGGAGGGGGAGATAAACAACTAAAAAACATGGGTGGGCAGTAAACTAGTTGTGATTAAGATCCAGCTGCTTTGTGTGAAAGGTGTTTAACTATGTGATGAGTTAGTATGCAAAGTAGGACAACTGACTTTACAATTGTGAATGACAGTGTGGTCCTGGTGAAAACAAAAGATTTTCTGCATTAAAATTGTGCAAAATGCAGAGAACTGTGTGTAGTGTTTTGAAAAAAGTGTGTTTTAAACCTGCAATTTGAGTGTAAAGCTGGAATTGTGCTTGTAGTTTAGCAGAATTGATTCAGGGGGTTGGTGCATCAGTTCATGCTGTAGTAATTGTGTCTGAAGTACAAGTAATTGTGTGTACACAATTGGAAAAAACTGTAATAGTCATTGTTGTCAGCGAAATGGCCTGAACTTTTATTTTATTTTTTTGGTGCACAGGGCTGCTTATAATATATGATCATAAAACTAAAGATTGGCTGTACTGTAGATGTGAGGTTAGGCATTCGCTAAAATAAAGATTATAGTTATTAGAATTTAGTGCTTGTTATTGTGGAAGAAAAGGAAATAGTTTGTTCCATCCAAACCACTGGTCTAAGATTTCTGCTTTACAAGTTTGAATTTTTGGACTTAGAAATAGGAGATTGTGCTTGAACTGTCAAATACAGTGAAAGTAATGCCAAAACAGCTCTTGAATATCCACATGGACACAGTCAGAATGTCTTCAGTGAACAAATACATCCCGGAGAAAAAGGATCAATAGATTGGATCCATGCATGTGTCTTAAAGTGACAGCATCCTAACACTGGTGGCTTACATTAAATTAAAGGTATATTTATAGATATTTTTTATCTTTTTGTTATTATAGGCTGGCGAGGCATCCCAGGTCGAGACGGTCTCAGATGAAAATAAGGGTTTGATATGGACTCTCCTAAAGCAGTTGAGGCCGGGGATGGACCTTTCGAAAGTGGTTTTGCCAACATTTATCCTGGAGCCACGTTCATTTCTTGACAAGCTGTCAGATTACTACTATCATGCCGACCTGCTGTCCAAGTAAGCACTTTGTTAGCATCACTACCACGACAAATGGTGCTTTACTATGAATAGATAATCCTCATATTTATTTTTGTTTTAGGGCTGTGACGGAGGAAAGTCCATACGGCAGGATGAAGCAGGTGCTGCGTTGGTATTTGTCAGGTTTCTACAAAAAACCAAAGGCAAGTTCTGTAAACTTATTAATTGATTGAGAATTATTATAAACAATTTCACAGCTGCCGACAGGGAGGTTAAGATTTTGGGTTATCACATAAAAATTATTGGATGGGTAATAGCTGCTCCAAAGTTTGAATCAACTAAAAAATGATAAATAAAGCATCTTCTGCTCACCAAGGTAGGTGATACGGTGGCTCAGTGGTTAGCCCTGTTGCCTCGCAGCAAGGAGGTCACTGGTTTGAGTCCCGGCTGGACCAGGATGGGGGAGAGAAGAGGGGGTTCTATTTTGTTTTTTCAACAGGGTTTTTTTAATTTTAAATTGTGGAACATTTTCATCACATCAGGCAGACTGTAGAGCAGTGACAGAATGCAGATCCTCATAGTTCTGCTTGAATTAAAACAGATGTCTTAAGAGCAGTTATTAGTCTCTTCATGACACTTTTAATGCTTTAATGGTCACTTTTAAACTGAAGTACTGTATTAATTTCTTTAAAATGAATATAATTAGGTTTATATTTACAAATGTGCATTTCTTATATCTTTCAGGGGCTGAAAAAACCCTACAACCCTATTCTAGGAGAGATGTTTCGATGCTGCTGGCTGCATCCACAAACAGACAGCTGCACATTTTACATAGCCGAGCAGGTAAGAGGAAGAATGAAGTGTTTTATTCAATGCGATATCAAGGACTTTTATTAAACCGAGTGGCATTTGCTGAAGTTTATTTATAAACTCATTTAGAGAGGATCACGTGCTTATGATTGGCCGGTAACACATTATTCAATTCATGATTCACCAATCAGACGATTCCTAAGCCACCATAAATACCCTAAGTTTCATATAACAGCCATCTTTGTTTTGAAGAATCCCTCTTTCCACCCCTACTCCTCCTCCTTTCCTAGATGTGTGGCACGGTGGCCCAGTGGTTAGCACTGTTACTTCAGAGCTAGAACGTCACTGGTTATAGTCCTTACCAAGCCAGCTGACGTTCTGTGCGGAGTTTACACGTTCTCCCCGTGCTGACGTGGGTTTCCCCCGGGTCCCCGGTTTCCTCCCACCGTCCAAAAACATGCAATTTAAGTTAATTGACTAATCTAAATCGGCACCATAGACATACTCCTAGTAAGTAGTTATGTCTTAAGAGCAATCACTATCTGTTCATAAGCTACTAGAGCAGGAAAGTTCTCGATCTACCTGAGCTCAAACTCCCCTGTAAACGGGAGGGAGCCCCGGGCTCGAGGAGCTTATGAGCTCAGGGTTCTGTCCTGGGACAGCATGCCAAACAAGCTTTATAATCAATCATCAGCTAAGTGTGAACTCTTGAAAAAACATTTGTCAAAAAGAAGCAATACGATGCAAGCAAGGGGCAGCACAGTGGCTCAGTGGTTAGCACTGTCACCTCACAGTAAGCAGGTCACTGGTTTGAGCACTGGCTGGGCCGTTTCTGTGTGAAGTTTGCATGTTCTCCCCATGTTCGCGTGGGTTTCCTTCAGGTGCTCTGGTTTCCCCCACAGTCCAAAGACATGCAGTACAGGTGAATTGAATAATCTTAATTGTCCGTAGTGTATGTATTTGAATGGAAGAAAGTATGGGTGTTTCCCAGTACTAGGTTGCAGCTGGAAGGGCATCCACTAAGTAAAATATATGCTGGATAAGGTGGCGGTTAATTTTGCTGTGGGGAACCCTGATAAATAAAGGAACAAAGCCATGATGCAAGGAATATGTTTTTAACCATTAGGGGGCAATTCTCTTAGAACCTAATTTTTCATTCCAATGCGCTTCTTATACATTGTCTTTCTATGTAAACAAACACATGCTCAGTGGACATCTGATGGTCTCACATATTTTGCATCATCTCAAACAAGAGCATCACATTTTTTATACCCTGTGTCAAGGGTCAAAACTTTCATTTTTATACTCATCAATTTTATCAAAGTTAGAAGAACTCCAACACTGCAGCTGTTTACAAGCTCTTAAAGGGGTCTGTGACCAAATAACATCATAACATAGTACATTTCTGTAAATCCAATCAATTAATAGTGCATATATAGAAATATATTGTATTTTTTCTTTATAGACAAAAAGTGCACTCTTTGTGAACGACTCCTAAAGCATGTAAACATAAAGCGTCATATGACTATTTAATGTAATGAACTGTGATTACTCCGCATAACATTTGTCCTACTGTGCATACATTGCGGACATGACTACTATCTCTGTTTGCAATAACAGCGGAAAGAGATAAGCTCATCTGATAAGCACTTCACTTTTGCACTTTCAGGTTTCTCATCACCCTCCAGTTTCAGCCTTCTACATCAGCAATAAGAAGGATGGATTCTGCATTAGTGGAAGCATTCTTGCCAAATCCAAATTTTATGGTATATATACACGCATATTTCTAGCTGAAGTTTGAAAATAGACATAAAGTCATTTTAATACACAACCTTTAGTGATGTTTCTTGTAATTCTGCTTATAACTTTAGTGTCTCTTTTTTTTAAAGGGAACTCATTGTCTGCTATATTAGATGGAAAGGCCAGACTCTTGTTTCTGACCCGAGACGAAGAGTATGTCATCACAATGCCGTACGCTCACTGTAAAGGTAATGGGCTTCAGTCAGAATTGACATTTCATATTTAAAACCATGCGCTATTGTTTTTAATTATACCTTAAAAGTGCACCCAAAATACATAAATACTACAAGGAAAATACGCATTGAACACATCAATATTTCTAAAGGAGCTTTTGATATGGAATTGAACCAGATTTTGGTAAAAACCCAAACAATACAAACATAAAAATAAAACAAAAGAAACAAATATAAAAATGAGTTCTGTGTAATAACAATGAAATGACGCAGGGAGAATTAAAACATATGTAATATTTTATTTAAAAGGTTTTCGGGTGATGGCAGCTTAAAGACGCCTCTCATATGGAGAATGAAATCACATGAATTGCTCAGGTGTATTTTTTCACAGACTTCAACAGAGTGTAAAAATCTTTATGGTTCTGTGGGTCTCGTCTATCAAATTTGATCTTTAATTAGTATTTTCTATTGGATTCGAGTCAGGTGATTGGCTGGACCATTCTATAGCTGGACTTTCTTTTTCTGAAAGCATTTGAGAATTTCCTTGGCTATGTTTGGGATCATCTTCATCATCCTGCTAATGTAGATGTTAGACTGAAGCAGCTAATATTAACTTACAATGACGAGGTGCAGAGGGCTGCTGAATAACTACTGAGAGATTTCAGCTGCTGTCGGGGCTTTCACTGCCTTTTTCAAACACCCCTTTCTTCGTGTGTTCAATTATTTTTCCTGCGTCATTTAATTTTATTATGCATAACCTAATATGTAATTAGATTTTATTTTTTTTTTTGCATATGTGCATTTCTTTGGTTGTTACAAACATCCAGGGAAAATTTTAAGTCAATGCCACCTTTAGAAATATGTTTCCTGAGAAAAAATGGTGACGTGTTCATGGAGTGTGCTCAATACTTATTTTCCCCGCTGTATATTTAATTAATTTAGCATTCAAAAGCCACATGATAATATTGTCTTTTTCTTACTTTTGTTTAAATATTCTAATGACAATAAACAATATAATAAATATGGTATACTACCATTTATACATCACATAAATGCTGAATAAATAAGTTTTAATTGATGTGTAGCAAAATATCTGATACAAGATAAAAGTACTGTATTTGAAAATCTTGAATAGGGGAAAAATATGTAAATATTGAGAAAACCATCTTTAAACTAAAAAAAAGTTAAACTTTTACAGTAGGAAATGTAGAGAATATCATGGTGGAACATGATATTTACCTGATATACAAATGATATTTGGAATAAAAGAAAAATCTGTAATTTCGATCAATTTATTTTTTATCATAACACACAGTCAACTTTCAATTGTTTTGTAAAAATTAATCTGTGTAATGAAGGGAAATGTTGTCTCTTACAGGTATTCTTTATGGCACAATGACATTGGAGCTTGGTGGGAAAATCACCATTGAGTGTGAAAAAACTCAATGTTATACAGAACTTGAATTCAAATTGAAGGTATTTTAGAGTCTAAATAATGTAACATTTTCTTTTCTGGAATCTTACAATTGTCGTTTTTATTTTTCTCCAGCCTTTTCTTGGCAGCTCTTGTAATGTTAACCAGATTTCTGGAAAGATCCGGATTGGGGAGGATATTCTGGCTACAGTAGAAGGACACTGGGTAATAATAATTACACATTTTCACATATAAAAAAAATCATCAAAATTCAAAATCAAAATTATTATTATTATTATTATTATTACAATACTGATGATGATAAAATAATAATAATAAGAATAAGAATAATAAGAATAGTAATAATAATAATAATAATAATAATAATAATATGAAATCCTTCAAATGTCTTAAAGATTATAGACAAAACAATTAACTTTACAACAGACTACAAGATTTTTTATGACATTGCTTGGCGGCACATAATCTCACAGTTGTGTTTGAAATCCAAATTATTCCCCAGGACAGCAAAGTGCACCTGATAGAGAAGAAGACGGGCCACCAGGAGGTGCTGTGGAACCCTGGTCCAGACATACGCAGACAGAGGCTGAAGAAACGAGTGGTGCCGATTGACCAGCAGGAGGCGTTCGAGTCCGAGAGGTGCGGAAACACTTAGTCATTATAAAAATAGAGCAAAGCAAATAACAAAAGAAAGGAGTTGATTTTCATATCTTATTTTGCTTGTGATTTACCATATTACAATTAGTCGTTCTGCACTGTAAAACCTAACAAAGTACTGTAGATTTTACCCCAATATTTGTTCATTTTACTTATTGGAAGAAGTTGCTTTACTCTTCAAATTAAAGAGATAGTTTGCTCACTAATGAAAACTATAACATCATTTTTCACACTCCCTCATGTGGTTTTAAACTTTTATGAATTTCTTTCTTCTTTAGAACATAAAAGAAGATATTTTGAAGAATGCTGGTTGCTGGCACCCACTGACTTCCATAGTAGGAAAAAGAAATATCTTGGAAGTCATTGGGTGCCTGCGACCAGCACTCTTCAAAATACCTCCTTTTGTATTTAAAAGAATAAAGTCAAATAGGTTTTAAACAATAAATGATATCAGATCTTTCATTTTTGAGTCAACTATCTCTTTAAACAGAGCTCAATTGAAAAGTGTAACAGCAGATTTGCAGCTCTTATCCTGCTTTGCTGTTTAACTGTTAAGGCAGAGTAAATGGCAAAATTGAGTGTTATTTGATGTGTTTTGGCTCAAGTTTTATATAGATGGAGATTTGCTAGTGTCTAATCTTTTGTTCTTTTAAAATCTGAAAGGATTTTTGGAGCTTTTGGTGGCTGAAGCTATTCTTGTGCTGAAGATTAGTACCTGTGTTTATATCTAATTGGCCAAAGACTATTAAAGGAACACTTCACTTGTTTTTAAATAGATATTTACAGAGTTAAGCAGTTGAGTTTCACCATTTTTTAATCCATACAGTGTATATCCGGATCTAGCAGAAGCACTCTTAGCTTAGCTTAGCTTAGCATAAGTCATTCATTCATTCATTTTCTGTTCAGCTTAGTCCCTCTATTAATCTGGTATCGCCACAGCATAATGAACCGCCAACTTATCCAGCATGTGTTTTATGCAGCGGATGCCCTTCCAGCACACCCCATCACTGGGAAACTCCCATACACTCTCATCCACACACACACACTACAGACAATTTTAGCATATCCAATTTACCTGAACCACATGTGTTTGGACTTGTGGGGGAAACTAAAGCACCCGGAGGAAACCCACACAAACACGGGGAGAACATGCAAATTCCACACAGAAATGCCAACTGACCCAGCCGAGGCTCTAACCAGCGACCTTCTTGCTGTAAGGCGAACGTGCTACCCGCTGCGCCACCACGTCACCCTAGCATAAATCACTGAATCGGAATTGATCCTCAGCATCTCATTAAAAAAAAAAAATTAAATAAAAAAAGATATTTGATAATTATCATATTAAATGCTTTTTCCTTTTGTACTTGCATATAACAGCGAAGTCCCTCGATTACAAAGATAAGGGTGAGAGTTTACTAGAATAAGAGTTTGGTTCCTAGCCTAGGAAAAAGCAAAAAAATTGTATCTGCCTTAGTATATGTACAGAGTTATATAAGAGTCAACCTTTAAATGTAATCATTTTCAAAACTCCTATTAATATAGCTTTTTGAGCCAAATGCTAATAGATTAATCCAATTCAATGATTTATGCTGAGCTATGTTAAAAGCGCTCCCGCCAGACCCAGAGATTGACTAAATGGATTTCAAATGAATGAATCTCAACTCTTTAACTCTAGCTGACTTCTAAAATTAGCCTATTTCCCCAAAAATAACTATGTGGATATGTATTATGCTATCTTTAGCTAGCATTTAAACTGAAAGACATGAGTTTAATGCAATTTAATTGAGTTTTATATACAGAAACCCGATATACTAGTATTACTTTAATAGCTTAAAACACAATTAATACTAATACTAGCGGGTGTCATGGTGGCACAGTGGGTAGCATTATCGCCTCACAACAAGAAGGTCACTGGTTTGAGCCTCGGCTGAGTCAGTTTCTGTGTGGCGTTTTCATGTTCTCTGTGTGTTCGCGTGGGTTTCCTCCGGGTGCTCCGGTTTCCAAAAACAAGGTGAAATGGATAAGCTAAATTGTCTGTTGGATATGTTTGTGAATGAGAGTGTGTGGATGTTTCCCAGTGATGGGTTGCAGCTGGGAGGGCATCTGCTGCAAAAAAAAAACACATGCTGGATAAGTTGGTGGTTTATTCCGCTGTGGCGACCCTTGATTAATAAAGGGACCGAAATGAAAATGAACTATCAGTATTTGTTGGTTGACCCTTATTCTCAGTAACAGCCTGTAGTCTGTCAGCCAGGTTCATGTAAACATATACTTCAGTATTTACTCACTAAAGCAGCTAATAGACATCCAATTTAATTGTTCAAGGATCATAATTTTCTATTTTGTGTGTAATATGTCAGTGTATATCACTATCCACACATGCAAACTAAATATAGTGTCCTTTTATTATTTAATTGTCGTAATTTATTGTTTTCTATTGGCCGAGCTAGTGTGATTTAAGCATTTACCAGTATTTGCTAGCCACTAATGTCAACTATAAAAAAGTAAAACTACAAACCCCTCTTAGGTCTCTTGCATCTTGACCTGGAAATCTACTTTGTAAATAATAGGCGTCATTCAGAATGAACTCAACTTTCTGGTTAAATTTTTCCACATCAAAGAGCTGTAAAAAATGTGTTTTATGACTAAACAATAATGGCTTTTATAAGATCTAAAGCTCATAGTGGAAAATTGTTGGTGTGTTTTTCCTCCAGGCTGTGGCAGCATGTGACCCAGGCGATTAATGATAAAGACCAGAACAGAGCCACCCAGGAGAAGTTTGTGCTGGAAGAGGCTCAGCGGCAGGAAGCCAGAGAAAGAGCCGAGCGAGCCTGGAACCCACGACTATTCACTCTTGATGCTGACACCAATGAGTGGCACTACAAGCATGCAGAGTATGTTCACTGTGCTACAGTCATTTATTTATTTATAGTATTTAGACTGTAAAAAATGTGTTTTAAACTGTTAGTTTTAAATCAATAATGAAAAAAAGTTTCCACATTTTTTTTTGTGTTACAGCTTTATTCCAAAATGGATTAAATTCATACACTGTATATACACGCTACCGGTCAAAAGTTTGTTAGTCATTTAATAATGTTAAAGAGGTTTCAAATGTATTTACTAAATTATAAACCTTAACATTTCATTAGAGGGCAGTAAGTTCACTATTCTGTGCCTCTGAATGGCAGTGTTTAAATTTCTATTGAGTTTCATCTGGTGCAAACAGAGTGTTTATTGCTTATAACTGCAAATTCACGGACACTGGGTTACAATGTAACCTGCTCACCTAATGTTTATGTTTATAATATTTATAGTATTTGCTAACTAATAACCATCCCATGTGGAACTCTGAATCTATGTCTTACTTCGGACTGCTACTGTCCACCGGAGGTCGCATTTCAGTCGCGGACACACATTTTGAGAACCTTCCTGTCGCGGGGGCACTTCAGATCATTTTGGAAGGGCACTTTCTATCCAAGACTAAAAAGGGCATTTGCACAGGTTGAGCCCCATGTGTGCACGTGCCTGCCCGGAGAGCTGAAATATAATTGGCTAAGCTGGCATTGAGCGGGTTAAATGACCAAAGACAGACAAAGACAGACATTCTGGAACGTAACACACATTTTCAAATCGTACTATCTGGCTTCAGCATTGTTTTTCAGATAAACAAGTATGTTCACTTAGCATCTTTCTCAAATATCTGTAAACACAGTATGGTATTTTCATGCTTTAAAAGAGGTGCTCATATACAGCACCTTTAAATTTTTTGGTGAGGACAACTTGATTGTTTTATGTTCAATCCACTTAAATTAGTGGGACAACATGAAGGAACTGTGTGAAACCCAGCATTTTTTACAGTGTATAATCATGTACTTGACTGATATGTTTGACGAAAATGTTTTTTGACCAATAGATTTAGTAAACAAACATTTAATTAAATCCTTCAACACTTCATCTCTTAATGAATTGTTTGAAATGTCTTTTAGTACAACAGTTTTAGCTTAATAGACTGTCAGTGACAGTAATCTCTCAGATCTGATTAAAAAATATATTCAGTGTTGTTCCAATGATAAATTAATTATGGGTTTAAAAAGACACATAGGTGATTTGAATTATGACTCACTTTTAATTTTGTGGTGAACTAACCCTTTGAAGTGTAATTCACAGCTACCATAATTTCCTTTGGTTACAAATCCAACAATCTGTCAGCATTTCAATAACTAATTATTTCCTCATCCTAATTACATTCTCAGCACTAAGCCATGGGATCCGGAGCGCTGTCTGGTGCAGTTTGAGAAAGACGGCATCATCCAAACTAAAGAGAAGTCGCAGCGCCGACGCAACCGTTACTCCTACAGCCAGGACTGGGCTGGACAGCAGAAGGTGAGTCATATAGAAACTCCCACAAAGAAAATAAAAAATTCTAACCACCTTCTTCCTACACTCCATGATGCTTGGCATGATGGCAGTAACATCTATCTTGGCATCGTGGGAGTAACATCTTTCAAACTGTAAAATCTAATACACTCACAGTAAAACAACTTGTTGGAATAAACTACTTTCAGCAGATCACCAATAATGTCAAAAACTTAATTTGAGGCTTTTTTCAGCAATATTATGGTTTTATATTGAAGTACTTTACTGTAGGGAATACATAGAGAGTGTAATTTGGTGGAATTTAACACGGTGAACTCAAAAGAGCTTCGGTCAGTGACATGCTTGTGATACTAGTGTCATAGTGAAGCACAAATCCAAGTGTACTTCCTACTCACACTGTAAAACAATCAAACATAAACACATTGAAAAAAAACTTAAAACCTTCTGTCCATAAAAAATACCACTAACTTTAAATGTTAAGAATCAACCTGGATTATCAAATAGTCCTATTTACTTGTAGAGTTGATAGATAAATGGATGGATTTGACGGACTAATGGATAAAGTTAATGGACTGATGGATGGAGTTGATGGATTGATGTATGGAGTTGATGAATGGATGTATGGAGTTTATTGAGTTGGTAAAATTGATGGATTGATTGATGAAGTTGATATATGTATGGAGTTAATGAATGGACTTAATGAATGGATGGATGGATTGTGTTGATAGAGTTGACGGATGGATGGATGGATGGATGGATGGATTGAGTTGATTGACGGATGGAGAAGATGGATGCATGGAGTTGATAGATTGGTGGATGGAGTTAATGGATGGATGGATGGATGGATGGAGTTAATGGATGCATGAAGTTGATGGATTGGAGGATGAAGTTGATGAATAGATGGATGAATGGAGATGATGAAGTAGATGGTTGCATGGAGATGATGAAGTTAATGGCTGGAGTTGATGGATGGATGAATGAATGGAGTTGATGAATTGACAAATTTGATGCATGGATGGATGGAGTTGATGGATGCATGGAGTTAATGGATTGGTGTATGAACTTGATGAATGGATGGATGGAGTGGATGAAGTTGATGGTTGGAGTTGATTGATGGAGTTGATTAATTGATGGATTTGATGCATGGATGGATGGAGTTGATGGATGGATGGAGTTGATGAATGGATTGTTGGAGTTGATGGATGGATGGATGGATTGATGGATGGATGGATGGAGTTGATGAATGCATAAAGTTGATGGATGGATAAATGGATGTATGGATGGACGGATTGATGGATGGATGGATGGAGTTGATGAATGCATAAAGTTGATGGATGGATAAATGGATGTATGGATGGATGAATAGACTTGATGGATGCATGGAGTTGATGGATTGGTGGATGAAGTTGATGAATAGATGGATGGATGGATGGATGGATGGAGATGAAGTTAATGGTTGGAGTTGATTGATGGATGGATGGATGGATGGATGGATGGATGGATGGATGGATGGAGTTGATTAATGCATGGAGTTGATGAATGGATTGCTGGATAGATGGAGTTGATGGATGGATGGATGGATGGATGGATGGAGTTGATTAATGCATGGAGTTGATGAATGGATTGCTGGATAGATGGAGTTGATGGATGGATGGATGGATGGATGGATGGAGTTGATTAATGCATGGAGTTGATGAATGGATTGCTGGATTAATGGAGTTGATGGATGGATAGATGGAGTTGATGGATGGATGGATGGATGGATGGAGTTGATGGATTGAAGTAGATGGATGGGTGGAGTTGATGGATTGATGGATGGAGTTGATGAAGTTGATGGATGGAGTTGATGGATGGATGGATGGATGGATGGATGGACTGAAGTAGATGGATGGGTGGAGTTGATGGATTGATGGATGGAGTTGATGAAGTTGATGGTTGGAGTTAATGGATGAATGGATGGAGTTGATGGATGCATGGAGCTGATGAATTAATGGTTAGAGTTGATGGATGAATGAATAGATTGATGGATAGATCGATCCAAACTTTTATTAGTCTTTTTTTCTGTTGAATATAAAATAAATAATAATAAAATATTTAGAAAAAATGTTAGAGACCTGTAACCTTTACTGCCATAATAGACAAAAGCAATCACAATGGAAGTCAATAGTTACAGTTGTTTAGCATTTTTCAAAATAATTTTCAAACAGTTTTGGAACTAGTAAAGCATTCATGTTTTGGGTGAACTGTCCCTTTAAGCATGTGTTTGGCTATCTTGATCGCCGTTAGGGTGTGTTTGGTTTACATAAGTGTGTGTGTGTGTGTTTGTCAGGTGCGGGTGAATGGCAAACACAGGAAGTCCAGCAGTCAGCCGTCCAGCTGCAGTCAGAACACAGAGAGCAGCAGCACCACACCAGAACCCAACCATGAGTCATCCGATAATGAAGGCAAGTCATCAATCCATAAGCAAACAGAAGTGTATGTTTTCTGATAGTTAAGAGCAGAATAAACAGTTCTTCAGGCCATTTAAATAGTCTGTAAGCCTGACTGTTACAAATACTACAAAACATGACTAATCAGATTTTCAAAAGTATTCACTTGATCAAATGGCATCTCAGATCCACAAGATCCACTACACTTTATAATATACTCTAGCTGCACTTATTGACCTTATTCTTCGCATATGACTTTCTCTCTCATTCAATTCCATTCATTTTTAGACAATAAAAACAGCTCGTTTTCTTCCTTGATGTGGCAAACTGATATTTTTCTACTTATAATACTATTTTCCACACTTCTTTGTAGAGGAAGTAGTTTGACCGTTTTCTGCCATTTCTTATTCCTAGTCATTTCTCTTATAATCATTCGATCACTAGCTGCTTGGGAATAAAAATCTGCTCCAAATAAAACGGAAATAAATTCAAATGATTTATTCCAAAATAAGTCCACATATATGCTTGCATTTTGACTGAAGTAAAGCAAATAGCTAATTCCTTCTTTAGAATCATTTTAAAGAAAAATATATATATTTATTAGGAAGCAACTGTCCAAAATAATTGAATAAAACCATTTTAAAATAAGTACAATTAATATTAAATTTATATATTTAAATCAAATTTTCCCATTCATGATCTCATTTTGTTGCCTACATCGAATGTTTACAAATGTGAAGATTTGGGTGAAATAATGTCATTCATTCATTCATTCATTCATTCATTCATTCATTCATTCATTTTCCTTCAGCTTAGTCCTATATTTATCAGGGGTCGACACAGCGGATTAATAAACCGCCAACTATTCCAGCATATGTTTTACACCCATACACACTTGTATTTACATGTTGACAACGGCCAATTTAGCTTAGTCAATTCACCTATAGTGCATATCTTTTGACTGTGGGGAAACCTGAACACCCGGTGGAAACCCACACCATCACTGGGAGAACATGCAAACTCCACACATAAATGCCAACTGGCACAGCTGGGACTCAAACACCATGCTGCCCCAATGTCATTCAACCCAACAGATATATGTTACAATTTAACAAAATAATTATTGCTTACAAACTGTTAAAACCTAGTGGTTTGAAAAATAGCCAAAATATTTACAAATCCCATCATTATTATATATTTTGTTTTTTGATGCGTCATTCAATGAAAGTCATTTTAGTGAGTGTGTCATGGTAAAAATGTATGATAGTTGGGTATTTTTCTACTTCTAAACAGGACACATTCTAATGTATTGGAAAAATTAAACAAATGTTGATGCTTGAAATCCTCTTATGTCTTTGACACCCACGTACAGTTGAAGTAAGAATTATTAGCCCAACCCCCCAACCCCCCCCCCCCCCCCTAATTTTTTTTTGTTTAATATTTACCAATTAATGTTTAACAGAGCAAGGAAATTTTCACAGTATGCGTGATAATATTTTTTATTCTGGAGAAAGTCTTATCTGTTTTATTTTGGCTAGAATAAAAGCAGTTATACATTTTTTGAAAAAGCATTGTAAGGTCTAAATTATTAGACCCTGTAGTCTAGAGATTTCCCAGTATTTCTCTGTTGCAATCAGAAGACCACAAAAATTATCCCTGAAAAAGCTAAAGCAAAATGCAAATGCTCCAAGATTACTGTTATGTTTGCAAGAAAAAAAAAACGCTAAACACATGCGGGCATTTCTTTGTTCTTTCTTTTTACTGAACTAGTCTGCAGTAACCAAAATAGGAGACTCATTAGAAACAAACAGATGGCCAACCAAAAAGTTACTCAGGGTTATACAAAGAGTGGCCTACACAAAATATATATATTCCTGATATGTGAGGCCCATCTCACACTTCATACACTACAATCACTATGGTATAAATACAGCACTACAACATACAAAATAGAGAGATCGACTTAAAATGTCACCAGGTTTTTAATGATTTGATCAGCAGTAGTTTGTAGTTTTACGCTGAATTTTGGGCGTAGTAATACACTAGAGTGAAGAGGCTGTACGAGTTCTGAAATTGCAAAATATTGCACAGCTCTCAGCCAATCAGATTCAAGAACCAGATAGAACTGTTGTATAAAATAAAATCAATATAATAATTTGTTTACATATGTCTCACTTTGAATTCCACAGGCTTTATGAACCAGTGTGCCAGATGCAGTAAAGAAGTGAAGGACATCGCTCTCATAGAGGCCTCGGTAGCAGCTATACAGAAAACACAGCAAGACATACAAAGGCAAGTAAACCTGCACAGACTCGATTCAGAATTATTGCATTACAATGGCTATGCGTTGCTCTGCTATTCAATACTCACTACTTATTTCTCCAGTCTCTGGTGGCTGAGAGAGCGAGCTCAAATGCACTGCAAGTTATGAAAGCACATACAAATAGAATGGACCCTTATAGTATCTGAGCAGCAGAAGTCGTCATAGTTGAAAAAACTTAAAGTGCAGTGAATAGTAGATAAACACAAATATTTGATTTGCATTCCAGGTTGCTCAAATAATAAAAGAATTACTCGATGATAGTGTTAACATGACTTTAAAAATTTGTGAAACTGATAACGGCAACCAGATGAGTACAATGTCATAATTACTTTCCTGACTACTGCATTAGGAACACCAAATCGCATGCAAAATGACACAAAACTGATATAATACAAAATAGAGCTTTATAAACGTACAAACATTTTGAAAAATCTAAATATTAAAAACTTTTAAAGATTTAAAATGCTGGTGCCTGTAAAACGCAGGATCACAATATTGTGAAAACATTCAATACACTAACAAATTAAGAATGCACCTTTACCTGACTGACAACACATGCAGATGCACAGAAATGCACAACAAATAGTGACAATAAAAACAGAAATGTGTCGGGAGACCCCAAGTGACAAACCCAGCTGCATCCGATAAAGGGTGTATCCAAAATTGCTTTTTATGCCTGTAAATAGTGCACTATTTGAGTGAGCAGTCCTTTATAGTGTTGTCTAAAACCAATCAATCCCACAATGCATCTCAGTAACAATTGGACAACCTCCATTTCTATGTGGCGTTTGCCCTGTCTCCCCGTCTTGGCATGGGTATCCTCCGGGTACTCCGGTTTCCATTTTTATTCGCCTTAAACGCTTACCCATTGCTTAATACACACAGAATGTACAGTAATACGCAAATATATTTACAAATGAAATAGAATTAGAGGATTAAAATATTACAAAAATTATTACTTTCTACATAAACATAAAAACCACTACCTATATGCCTTCTTGATCTCGGGGGGATACATCTTTTTTCAGTTTATTTATGACAACTTGCTTTTGTATAATGTCATTATTATTATTATTATTAGCAGTAGTAGTATTTATTAAATGCATATTTGTATTTGTTTAATTAAAAACAAGCTTAGATTTGTCCACCTGTCAGGTTTTGGACCATATGGGGCATAAGAATAGGACGTGTGTTTTAGATATAAAAATTTTTTTGACCACGCTTCGTTATTATTGTTCATGTATTCAATGGCTGGAAATTAAAACTGAATTTAGAAATAGCTTTGTAACAAATCATTGTGCGTAACAAGCAAAATTAAATATGCAGGCTCTTGGATGTCTTCAGTGAAGTGCGTTTCTTTAGAAAGAAAGAGAACTAGAAAGTAGAGACCAATTGAAGGAGGCTCATTCTTTACCCTCGCACTGCAGATGGTCTGTTTAACTGTTTTCTCGCTAGTAAAGCATTCATTTTTCCACTAAGAGAGTCTGCCATGTAAATAGCAAATGTGACATGATGCGACACAACTGACTCTTAAAGGGAATAGGAGATGAAACTCTGATTAGTTTATCCTTAAATCACTCTCATAACTCATTAGGAAAAGGAGCACAACCCTGTTAGACCATGCGCCACGGCGCAAACTATATTTTTCCGTTGTAAAATAGCAAAAGTGGATTCAGACACACCCTTAATGTTTTTGCACCATGCGCTTTAGACTTTGCGCTTGGATCTTTCTAGGATGAGTTATGGGTGATTTGAGCATAACGAGCATTAAAGAGTCTCATCTCACATTCTCTTTAAGAGTCAGTTGGGTCGTGCTGCGGTGCTTTGATTTTTTACATGGTGGACTTTGTAAGAGGAAAAACTGAATGTTTCACTAGCAAGAAAACCGTTAAACAGACCATCTGCAGCACGAAGATAAAGAACTAGCCCCATTAGGCATCTTTACTTTATCTTTACTTTTACTCTTTACTCCTTTACTTTCGAGCATAAGGAAATGGTGTTTTACGCACTCCACTAAAGACATCCATCAGCCCACATATTTAATTTAGTTTGTTAAGAGCAAAGAGTTGTTTCAAAACTATTTCTAAATTCAGTTCTGATTTCCAGCAAACGAACAAATGAACAATAATAACGAAATTTGGTACAGAAACTGAGTTATATCCCAACACTTGTCCTATTCTTTAGCCTCATATAGTGATGCATATGTCCAACAGGCGGACAAATCTTAACTTTTTTTTCATTCATTCATTTCCTTGTCAGCTTAGTCCCTTTATTAATCCGGGGTCGCCACAGCGGAATGAAACGCCAACTCATCTAGTATGTTTTTACGCAGCGGGTGCCCTTCCAGCCACAACCCATTTCTGGGAAATATCCACACACATTCAGTCACGCTCATACACTACGGACAATTTAGCCTACCCAATTTACCTGTACCGCATGTCTTTGGACTGTGGGAGAATCCGGAGCCAACTTGTTTTTATTAAAAGAAATATAAGTATGCTTATAATAAACAATACTACTATGAAAAATGATAACATTTAACAAATGCAAATTGTCATGAATAAACTGAAAAAAGTATAGAGGCAGTGTTTTTTTATGTAGAAAAAAAATATTTTTGTCCTAAATCATTTTAATCCTTTAATTTTTTTCATTTGTAAAGATATTTGTGCATTGCTGTACATCCTGTGTGTATTTAGCAATGTTTAAGTGTTTGGATCTGCATAGGCACATAATTAACACACTCTGCACTGGACTTTATACCTGCTTTTAGTTGGTCAATGACATGGTTTATTTCAGTTCTTCAAAATAGCAACGCACCAACAATACACCTTAACACACCTCTATTTTAGACCAGCACACCAATGAGTCCACAAAGTAGCGCAAATGGATTTGCTGTTTGAACAACGTGGTGCTACATGTAAAAATTAGGCTTGCTTTGGTCTAAAAATGGGAACAAATTGCGCCAAACACATCTTGCCCCTTATTGCACTAGGGTGTATGATTTGGCCCTCAGTGTGTAAATGTGATTGACACAACGTGATGTCGAATTTATTTTAGAACTTGAGAAAATTTCAGACCAAAAACAAACCTCTCAGTTCTCCAACAACACCGCAGACTCTAAACAGGAAGCAGCCATTTTCGGCAATTTTTAGGGTCACTTGATACATTTGTGATCTGCGTTATTTGCAGCACATTTTTCTATTTGTATGTGTTGTTACGATTTCAGTGCATTATCAAAACGATTGAGGCGTTTTCTCAATTTGCTAGTGTTTTTCAATTCACTTGTGTTTTTGCTCTTATACTAATTTCTGTTATCTTACTTTCGTCTTCAGAAACCTGAGTGCACTGGGTCGTCAGATAGCAAGGCACAAGACAGCAGAGGAGAGCAAGTCCTTGAGCGGACGCCACTTTCTTATCCTCTGCATGCTGTTGCTCTTCCAGCTACTCATCAACCACGTCTTCACTTGAGATGCTGTCACCTAGCAACCATCGCCTAGCAATCGTTGCCTAGCAATAAACACAGCCAAACGATCACCGTCACACAGCCCCTCGAATGCCCCACCCGTGATGTTGCTACCAGCTGTAGCAACCGCACCATCAAGCACTAAGCACTTCAACTAGGGAGAAAGAGACTCTTGTTTTAATTAATATGACAGATAATCATTTCAGAGTGGATGTAGACCGATGTACTGCCACTCTCAATAATTGACGCGTTCACACTTTCCTACGTACTTCCCTTTCTTTGCAATAGGGGTCATCTTTTTTTTTCTTTTTGAATGCATTGGAATGGGTTTGTGTGTCTGTCTGTGTGTGTGCTTTACTCACAAACTCCTCTTCCATTTATACACCGGGCCTTAATACTGATGCCAAAAAGGGGAAAAATGAACTGAGAGATCAGTTAAGTCCGCCAGTGCAATTTGCTTTCTGTTTTTATTTTTTGGCTCACACAAATTTGCTCATCTTATGATTTTTTTTTTTTTACCAAAATAGTGTTTCTGTACAGAACAATAACAAAGAAGAGTAAATGTTTACAAACTTGATTGTACACCACACAAAGGAGAACGATGCTCTGACACCAAAAGCGTATAGTGTAGATGTAGAATAGATTCGGCGGTGGCACTACAGTAAAAGAATGAACAATCAGCCATAAGACTGAGATATTCATATTCGTGACTGTTTGTTGGGCATTGGGGAAGAAATTCACAATAGGGACACGTGAGGCCTTCTGGGAAGTTCCAGGTCATTTGTGTTGCTCGGGTGAAGCGAGATGTGTTTGCTAACGAAGGCATGACTGGCTAGTGGAAAGTGTATATATTTGTTCGAGAACATTTGAAATTAAGAATGTATTTATTTGATCATTTCACTTGATTTGTTTTATATATAAACATACTGTTTTTAAGAACACGTTCATTCAGGTTTTCCGGGAGCAAGAGTAGTTGAGCACCAATTTACAGCGGGGAAAATAAGTGTTAAACATGTCACCATTTTCCACTGAAAATCCACAGAAAATCTCTAAAGGTGCTGTTGACTTGAAATTTTCTACAGATGTCAGTAACATCCAAATAATTTAAGTAAAATAAAGTAATTAGTTTACAAATTAAGTACTAAGATGCCTAATAAAATAAAATGACGCTGGGAAAAATATGACGGCAATTCTATGGCAAAAATAATCAAGCACACTTGTGATATTTACGCGCGAGGAGAAGTTAAGGCCAACTCACACTGAGATTTTTTTAAAATCCTAAATGATCGTAGCATGTTAGGCTTAACAAACATGGCTCCCATGTCACACTGTAAGATCTCAGCTTTCATAAAGTCAGAGTGAATGACAGTGAACCGGTGCCAAACACGCAAGAAGTGCTCCCGGAGTTTGAAGTCATCCACCTGTGACACTTTCACTATTCTGCATTCTAAAATGATTCCTCACAGAAAACGTAAAGAATCTGTAGCGCCAATTTTGCATGTGGCGTGTCTCAATAATAAAACTAGGAATTGCTGCATGGATTGCATCATCATATCTAGAGCTCCTATTGGTTCTTGGGTTGATGCTCATCGCAGCTGTTGTCACACTGCAGGAAAGTGTCTGAAATCTTCTGACACTGCCAGAACTTCATCGGAAGAAAAATCTGATTGCAACGAGCATCAAGCAGCTATCTGTGAACATGTCAAACCCATAATCAAAGGTCACAGATTTTAGCCCAGGATTTTAGGAATCTTTTTGGATTTTCCAAATTTGTCTCGGATGTGAGCAGGGCTTAAACCGCCAGATCACAGACCTACACGCGAGGAACCTATTCATCAAATCCTAGCTAACGTCTGGAAAGAGAGGGTAACCAATAAAAGTTAGAGATAACAATTAAACCAAGTCCCGCCCCAAGGCTGACAAAAATCCAAAAAGATTTGCGCGATCAAAGAGAAGAGCCAGCAAGCAAGTAAAAGAACTGCTGTGAGGCATAACCTCGCTCACGAGAGCATCCATTGTGCACACAGATGATAATTTGCGCGCACAAGGGTTTACAGCGAGCTTACGAGGACCTGTTTTCTTACGCTAGATCACTTCAGCATGCGCGTGAACATCCCCTGTCCACGTGCGAGCAGTGGCGGATTTACCCTATAAGCAAAGTAAGCAGCTGCGTATAGCCTCAATACATTGAAGTAAAAACTATACACATAACATTGTTTTCTATCATATTTTGTATGGTGAGGGTCTAACAAATAAAATTTTAACATAATTATAACATCTACACAAATTTGTCTAACAACCCCAACCATGGAGCAGTCAAGTCAGGTAAAGATTTTTATTATTTTTGGTTTATATTATTATTATTATTTTTGTGTGTGTGTGAATTCATAAAAAAAAAAATCACAAAAAATGTAAAGATTCCAATAAGATTAAACAGCAAAAAAAACATAAAAATTTAATAAAACTACAAAGGGTGCATTTTAGGACTGTTGCACCCTATTGCTGGAACTGCTTAGTGCCCTTGTGTGTAGGTCTGTCATCTTTGCGGTTTACTTCTCTACGCTCGTAAACATCACCGTTGCACTCTATTATTAATGGTTTAAAATTGTCGTCATAGGAAAAGTAGTGAACACATGATGAAAGGAAGGCAGGGAAATCCCAGACAGCAGCTGAAATCTCGCATTAGTTTTTCAGCAACCATCCCACCCTTTGTCATTTTAAATAAATATTCGATGTTTCAGTCCAACATCTGCATTAGCAGGATGATGAAGATGAAACCAGGGTGGACATTTCAGTAAGACAGAAGCTGTTTCTCAATTCCAATGGACTTGCCTTTTTGCCAGGTCACCTTTGAAAGACGAACTCGGGAGACTGCGAGAACACAAAACGCGTCCTGTGAGAAATGAAATGCTGCATTCTTCCTGATGTTAACATGACCTCCACACGTTTTTAACGTAAAATTATTTGAAACATTACAGCATACATAAAGCAATTTATTGTTTTTTTTTCCCTTTTCACAATATATGCTATGCATAAAGACCTTACAAATATACGTTGCGCTATACAAATAAAACTAATTGTAATTCGAATTTTAGCAAATAAACACCCCTAATGTGTTCATGCCTTTATTAAGATTTTCATGTTAACGTTTAATTTCAGTGTCTCATTTAAGGAACCCCCTGAGGTAAATAAGTTATAAATATGCTGCGCTTCCCACCTCCAGTTGCAATGACTTCTGGGACTTCTAAAGCGAGTTCGTTGCTCAAGTCTGCATCGCTGTGTCCTCGATATCAAGAACACATCAAGGAACTTTTACGTGTCCTCAGTTCTTGCGGTCTTGAGTTTTGCAACTGAACTGAGCCGTTGATGATGATCAAGAACACGAGATCCCTGAAAAACACATATTGAGAAACAGCCAATGATACAAAATACAGCACTCAAATGCTTTCAGGGAAAGAAAATCGGGCTGTAGAATGGCCCAGCCAATCACCTGACTTGAATCCAATAGAGAATAAAATATAAAGATCAGATTTGATAGACAAGACCCACAGAACCTTGAAGATCAAGTGACTTCATTCTCCTGATGAGAGGAGTCTTTAAGCTGCCATCACCAAAAAAAAAAGGCCTTTTATATAAAGTAATAACTATGTTTCAGTATTTCAGTTTTTTCTCCTTGTGTCATTTCATTGGCATGACACATAACTCATCTTTCAGATTGTTTGTATTGTTTGTATTTTTGCCATTGTTTGGATTTTTACCAGTTCAATTCAATGTCAACAGCTCCCTTAGAAATGTTATTTTCAGGAAAAAAAAAAACATGTCTGGTTCAATACTTATTTTCTCTGCTGTACTTCCTCTTCCTAAGGCTTTTTTTTTTTGTTTGTTTGTTTGTTGTTGTGAAAATTTGAGTGTCCCTTTAGCTGGGAACTATTAAGGTCAAAGTACAAAACTTCCAATTCAGGATTCATATTGGAGTATTTGGTTTGTTTTGCTTTAATGATGCTTGCACTCTTGAGCCACAGTTCAACCCATTGAAATTTAATTTTTACTTGTGTTCCTTTTTTTTTTACACAGCACTCAGTACAATGTCAACTTGTCTGACAACTGAAATGAATGAGATGTCAATGCCTCACTGTTTGTGAATGATTGTTGCAATTACAGCACCACAGTAAAACTTACATTTCAACATGTTGCATTGTCATCTTTGCCACATTCACATATGCTATAAGGATCTCTCATAAACCATGCCAATACTGTTCACTTTGCTGGCATTAATAAAAATATCTTCATTGGATATGTATCCAGAGACATGTTGGAGATTGACAGATGGGAAAAAGTACTGGCAATAAAGGAGTATTAATACATTGCTTTATGAGAAACGAGAGGGGAATGTTGCTTTTAAAGACTTCTATTCTTTTTAACACTGTTCTTAATGACCAAAGTAATCCATACATACTTTAATAGTTCACATTTAGCTTATAATCAATAGAGCGCAATTGGCATGCTCTCCCGGTAGAGAGCCCTAGGCTTGTAACCTCCTCGAGCCCGGGGCTCCCTCCCGTTAGAAAGGCAGGAGGGCAGTTCGAGCTCTGGTAGGTCTCGAGAACTCCCCTTCTTGTCGCCATGTGAGAAGTGTAAACTAAGGTTGTCTTGGGTTATAATTTGGTTTAGTTGATTGGCTATGTTGTATGTTTTTGGATGGTGTGAGGAAACCAGGGAAACTGGGGGAAACATACTCAAACTTGGGAAGAACATAGAAACACAGAAACGTCAACTGGACTGATGTGAGGTTGGACCAGCAGTGTTCTTGCTGTGAAGCAATAGTGCTATCCACTAGGCCAGCGTGTCGCCCTATAGGAAAAAAGGGTGGGAAGTAGGGGGGGGGAAGGGGGGTAAACTTCAAGACGAAGTGAAAAACTTTGGTTATTTATAATGCTTCTGTAATCATCTAATAGAGCAGATTACAGAGCTAATGAAGTGCCAGTTGTGTTGATCATAAGCACGTGTCCCTTTGAAATGAGTTTATAAATAAACCACACGAAGAAAACAACCTAGTTCAAAAATGAAGTTGTGTAATAAAATGTAATGACATGGTATTAAACACATGAATAAAAGGTGTAAAAACACATGGAAAGCCCAGACAGCAGCTGAAATCTCTCAGTAATAAGAAAGCAACCCCGTCTCTCGTCAGTGTAAATGCATATTAGCTGCTTCAGTCCTAACACCTACATTTCAGATGATGTAGATGATACCGGGGTGAACTTTTCAGCAAGACAATGATCCTAAACAGTCATGCAATTTCTCAATTGGTTTAAGAAAAGAAAATAAAGCTGCTAGAATTGTGTAGCCAGTCACCTGACCTTAATCCAATAGAAAAACCATCTAGAACTAATGATCAGAGTTGATTAGTGTTGTCATGATACTCGAATTTGGTACCAGTCGATACTGATATTTCAAAAACGTCCACTTCCCGCTAACTTTTGAGTGCATTCCTAAACACAGCTGATGTGCAAATGTGTTCACATGCTTAACAGAAATGACACTGATTAGCCTTAAAGGTCATCAATTTACCTAACTCAATGCGATTTACTGAGTACAACTACATGTACAGGGACACTGGAGCATTTTAAAACTGAAGATCAGTCGATTTATCAGCGGATCACTCCTGTCAGCTCATAAACAGACCAGCTGATTGCAGCTTTAAAACACATGCAGTGCGGTGTGTTGTTGATTGCAGAGCTTCTCTATTAAAAAAAAAAAGAAAAAGAAAGAAAGAAAAAAACGTTCTGAGAGATCAGACCTCAGCCAGGTATTAAAAAGTAACACAAAAGTAACGCAAAGCTAAATAATGCAGCTAGTTACTTTTAGAGAGAGTAACTCCATATTGTAATGCATTACCTCAAAATTAACTTTCCCCAACACTGAACATAAACCTAGGAGGCTGAAAAACAATGTTCATTTTACAAGAAGATTTTAGATGGCACTGCATTTGAACATTTAATGTATAATGTTAGTTGAGTGGCGAGGCAGTGGCGCAGTAGGTAGTGCTGTCGCCTCACAGCAAGAAGGTTGCTTGGTCGCTGGTATGAACCTCGGCTCAATTGATGTTTCTGTGTGGAGTTCTGATGTTCTCCCTGCATTCGTGTGGGTTTCCTCCGGGTGCTCCGGTTTTCCCCACAGTCCAAAGACATGCGGTACAGGTGAATTAGGTAGGCTAAATTGTCCGTAGTGTATGTGTGTGTGGATGTTTCCCAGAGATGGGTTGCAGCTGGAAGGGCATCCGCTGAGTAAAAAACTTGCTGGATAAGTTGGTGGTTCATTCCACTGTGGCGACCCCTGATTAATAAAGGGACTAAGCCGACAAGAAAATGAATGAATAAATAATGTTAGTTGCATCCAAAATCACTGTGTTGAGCAGTTACCAAATATTTTAAATAAGTCAGTAGTTCTCAAATTGTGGTACGTGTATCACTAGTGGTACGCAGGCTTCCTACTAGTGGTATGCAGAGGAATCGCACACTTGAACACACTGTTAACCCCTTTGATGCGTATGATCACACAGGTGTGATCAGTAAATTGATTTTAATAGGCTAAACCTTTTGTTTTACTTTCAAATTTTAAATGTTTGTTTTTTATTCTATCATTTAAAGCTAATTTCCTCCCCATATCTGTAACAGTTGTTAGGAGCGTTTCCTGTATTTTTTTATCCCAATGTTGACAGGTATAGTTTAATCACTCGCTTTTCTGACAGACATAGGCTACTCTTAACGTGCAGTAGGCAGATCTAATTTCTAATTGAAATATGTAAATCCAATTCATATTTTTAACTGCAAGTTAATGTTTAGATTTCAAAGATATACAAATCATTTATATACATATGCAAGGTATATTTTAAAATTGATCAAAAAGTGTTTATATATAGCCTATGTTTATGAGGTCCAAGGAACATTTCCAGGTTTGATGAATAAGCTACTATATGATAATACTTTAGATTTAAGTACAGCAGTTTTCACTTTAATTTTTAAGAACAGTGCCTTTTCAATTAACTTTTAAAAGCACATTATTATTATTATCATTATTATGATTTAAACATTGACGCTTTATTTATTTATTTATTTATTTTTTACCTGTAAGCACAGTACAGTGTTAATGTTCAAACTATTTATAATGTTTGAAGTGGCTGATAACAATAAATATTTATAATAAGAAGAATTAATCTGCCATGTTTTTGAACTGTATAGCTGCTTAGTTAGGCCTATTACGCTACTGTATTTCAATACTGGTCATTATGGTGATACTTGAGAGACAATTTTTTTTCTGAGGTGGTACTTGGTGAAAAAAGTTTGAGAACCACTGAAATACGTGATTACTTCATGTTCACAAAAACAAATATGTTCTAAATATGTGAATGTGTGCTAAGCTAAAGCTAAAAGTCTGTTTAACTCTAGTGGAGCTGTAAATTTAGCCTACTTCTGAAAAGAAGTAACATATTTTTTTAATAACACCTTAGCAACTGCTTGGCAATGCCTTGACATCCACCAAAATATCCTAGCATTCGCCTGTCACCTACAAACCATTACATTGTGAGTTTTGTGCAGAGTAAAAAGTATAAGATTTTCTTTTCAGAAGTCATCCGCAGTTTTCTCTTTTGTAGTCACAGCAGAAAATCCCAGGGCCTGTCAGGACTAGTAAATTAAA